CGACCCCACATGTTGTACTACGGCTCTAATTGATCGCGATAATCTGAGTTTCACAGCAGCGATCGTGTACTTCAACCTTATTTCTCTCTACCTCCTGGGTTGTGGTACTGTAGCAGCCAACGAGATTCAAAGGCGCGAAACAGCATTCAACACATTGAACACCGATATGCTGGTGATGCCCGGTCATAGCATCTCAGCCTTTCAGCATTATCGCAAAATCACGGGACACAATCATGACAGTTATGAATGGTCATTCATATTAGCTCATAACGGTGTCCCTCAACGGAACGGTGTTGTTTTCTCGGCCGATGAGAAAACAGGGACATCTAAGTAGACACCCCTGTCCTTCTCGCAAGGCCATTGAGGGGGGTGTACAGCCTCAATCTATTTCGAGATAAAGCCACCCTCAGAGGTCACAGAGTACAAAAATGATATATCATTTCACTACGACCCATTGATGGACTTGGATCTCGCTGCATCAAAATCTCGATTTTTCTTGCCTTGGTCTCCGGAAGGGCTGAAGAATGTCGCAAAAGCAACAGTAGAAGGGGAAAGAGTAGCGCAGGACTAAGCCATTGGGTTATCATAGTCTCCCAATATGGACGCTCAAACCCTGGTGACCTGCGCTTGAGTGAGGCACGGCACCTCAGTTCCGTCGTGGGGGTTATTGCGTTCACCTTGGCTAGCGATCCTTGTGAAAGCAACGAGACAAAAGTTGGCAAGCTCCAACACCTTGAGCCATTCAGTTTGCCATGACGGCGGGGTAGAACAACAGGTCATGTGCAATGATTCTTTGGTCGACCTGGTAGCCTTGCTGAAGGTCAATCCGATCTGGGTTGTGACTTTTGAGATAGACAATCGGCAGTGAGCTGCAACAGACACGTTTTACATACTCGCTTCTCGTTGACTTAACGCCTGGCAAGCTACTTCAACTTTAGTCATTCGGCTGCCGGATTTATCGTGTTTAGCTACCCTGCCACATAAGGCATTATCGAGGGAGGGCTACAAAAAGCTCGCGGTGGACTGCCTATAGAATAATAGAGGAGTCGCGATGATACTTAGTTACCATTGCCATATCTGGGGAAGCTTGAGAGGAAGAGACTTTGAAACCAACCAGGGTTCAAGCAAGGATGTTTTACGAGGGAATGGTCAGGAGTCAGGAACAGTTACAACACAGCAGGGGCAAAAGCTCTGCGCTACGCAGGCGCCGTTCATCTCTGACTGCCGCGAGCCTTTCAATAAGTTCTTGTAGTTGATTGACGTATCACATCGGTACCGTGAATATTGCCTCAGATGCACTAGCATAAGTCGCAACTTAAGACCAATATTCGCTGGCAATTCCCGACACCTGGTCCTTGCAATACCTGCGAATTCTTACCTTCACATCCTGGCCCTCGAGGTTCTAACATTAGATGGTTGCTCAAAACAAGAGCGCGGCTGTGCGGCAACAAGCCGCACCGCTCTGGTTCATGCTTATTGAGACTGGCCATTGGGCGCACATGATCCCGGCCGATGGCTTTGATGAGCTCCCAGAGCTCTGGAAACATCGGAGATATTTTTGGTGATTGGGCTGTTTCATGTGGATTGAACACGGCAGATAGTCTTAGATTGTCAACCTCTGAGTTTGATGGTTTTCTCTCAACTTTTACGATCAAGACTGGGCGGAGTCGAAATACACAGCGAGTTCTTTGGGATTTCTCTCTCTCGCTAAAGACGGTTCAAGTGCGGAATTGCTGTTGGAAGCCCATAAGGCAGACAGCGTAAGAGAGACTGAGGACAAGCTGGGTGCCAGACAGGGGTTATCATTGCCAGGGGTCTCTATGGACTCCAGTTCAGGGCAGTTCTGGGGACTATGGGGCCGGCAATACACGGCGGGGGCCGTCCTCCGCAACAGAGACCGGCCGGCGAACCCACCCCGAACCGAGTTTTCTCTCTACAGACGTCGCGTTATCCCCGTTATCGTCACAGTGGATGTCAAATCTACAAATCATCCGATCTACAAGTTCTAGACGAGCCATCTCGGGTTCTCTTAATGGCATCCTCTTGTTGGCTTCGATGGAGTGAATCTTGTCAGGAAAGGCGTACATTTGACGAAGTTTGGCGAAGCCACCATGATTTCTAGAAGCGTAGCCATCATTATAAACGTAACTTAAAAGCCCTTACTACCCATTTCTTGCATGGTCAAGCTTCGTCGTTTTTGTGAAGAAGGTCGGTTTTTAATGACGCCAATGAAGGCTGACATTCACTCAACTATATCCGTCTCAAATTAGATCACCATGGTGGAGATGACCGATCATGGAGCTGGTGAGCATAAACATAATCCCAGTCGAGGGGATAAGGGAAAGACCGACGATAATTCAGCCCTGACAATCCAGGACTGACGAAGCGGGACCACGAAATTCATCTCAGATGACAACACGGGGCAGTACAGTCCAGAATGCGGGTATCCATCATGTTCAAGGACAGGCGGCTCAGCGGGCAGATTGACGAATTTTTACTTCAACCACGATACGCTCCAATCCTCTCAGAGCATCATCATCGAAGCAGCCTCGGATTGAGAAGATGACTGCCTGGCCAATAGAATCGCTTCACCCGCAACTCAACGTTTCCTCGCGGGATCACGCCCCATGAAAAGACCCTTGCTGCCAAGATCCAGGCACACCCACACCCGCCATGTTTGCATGACACTCAATAGCATGCAATAAATACACCTGCAGCTGACTGCGAGAAACAGGTAAAGCCTGCATGTAATTCTTGCAGCGTTGGACCCTTGCTCTGTCCAACGACCGAGCCTCACGCAGTCCTTTAAGTATGCACGGAACGTTTCATCGAGGCTTCATCACTTATCAAGTTCGCAACTCTTCTTTGACGCTCATCTCAGCCCAATTTAGAATCTTCTATCCCCTTTCTTCCTCTTACCACCCCCAAGCCTTGGTTTCTTTTCAAGTCATGGTCTGCCTACTCATGCAGGAGTGATGCTAACCCAGTATCTTCCGAAGCCCTGGCCCTGGGGTTGTCGAGATCTGGCACTAATGTTCAGCTATCTGCTCCAATGCAGGGACGCAGTACATGCAGAGCAGGAATATAGATTATTGCAGAATCTTCACCTAGTGACCAGCCGCTCACGTCGAAATCTTTTGTTCAAGACTTTCAGCAGGCTGTTCGTTACTTGATTTGAGTGATTGCATCAAGCTTGCTTAGCATAATTGTACGTAGCCAGTGATGAGAAAACTGACATGTCAAACATCGAGAATAGCCTCAGAGGCCACTAGGCTGAAGTGTTAGTGTATCTTATTCGACAGTTTGCGCCTCGATGGTAATGGTGTGGAAGTAAACCAAAGTCTCGACAAGGGAGCGAGCCCACAACATCAGAACGTTTGAGGGTGCAGTCAAACCCATAACTCATGTGTGCCTTGAACAGTAAGTGTCAGGCCAGAAACACGGCGGAGTTTACCAGGGATGACTTCAGTAACTTTTGCGAGCTACCAAAGGAAAGGAGTGGATTGGTTGGCGATTGAGTTATACCGAAATCCTTGTTCACTGTTTCTGTTTCGTTCTTCCTCTATTCTTCCATCTTCTCTTTCTGCGCATAGCTCCTCTAGCTCTGTCAACTAGGATTAGGGTGGATTGTTTCAAAATGACAGCGCGAAAACTCCTATAATTGACGCTTTCATTTCCGTAATCAAACCAGTTGACAGATCAGGGCAATACTCTGCGACACGGACTTCAAACAGCGCCGAAGGTGTTTGCTTGCTTGAGAACAAACGTTGAAGAACCAGCCTGCAGATGCTCCGTGCTTTATTCCCTAACCTTATTATTTATTTTTCGGCAAGCAAGATACTACATTACGACAAATGCTGCATAAGTATTCGAAAATGAGAAATGAACAACTGATAGTAGAAGCTTGGGCTCGAATTGTGATGGAGAGGGTAAACTCGGGAAGTTTTCGGTTTCGGGATCTCGTGGCCCCGATCGTTCGGCACTGGAAGACCGGAAGATCGGAGCACAAGCGGAAGTTTGATACGGCAAATCGGGAGATATTCAATGCTCACAACTGGTGCATCACTGCTTGCGGTAGCTCCCGGAACAGAGGTAGCCGCAGCTTATTTCTCACACGGCTTTATGCGCTTGGTGCGCAGTGCGCTACGACCGTATTGCTGTTTTGGTCGATTCAAGACTGTTGTGGTGGTCCTCTATGTGTAAGAGCAGGGTGCATTATTTGCCCACAGCGTTGTCTTAGCTCTCTTTGCGCGTGAGCCTTGACAGCGGGACGGCGGCTCGGCCTTTAGTTGCTACCAGCTGTCGGGGACTGCCGCTGGCTGGTCAGTTGTTTTCACGATAGGGGTATATTTAGTAAGATCTCTCAATTAGAGACCCGAGGAGGTCATTGCACAACACATCCCACCGTGGTGTCGGGTCCCGCTAACAAGGGGGCCCTGGTTAAGCGGCGTCTAGCCATGGCGATCTTCGACATGGCCCTGACCAACTTCAGACTCAAAGACAATGCTGTGAGTGCGTCACCGGGATCACCAGCCAACGTCAGTCAGGAGAAGAAACATTGTCACTGAGAGATTTCTCGGGCTACGGAGAAGAACAAACTCGTGATAGGTACTGTCAGTAGAGATCGAGAGTCTGAAGTTAAGGATCTGGCACTAGCGAGTAATAGTCGCTGCCCAGTTCCCGTTACGTTGCTGTTCATCAAGCTAAGAAAAAATCGTGTTTTAGTATGATTGATAGACTGAAGCCACGGATTACCGAGAAGGGCAAATTGGAAAACGGCGTGCCAAAGAAGCGCGGGGGAAACGGGAGAGTCACACGGACTCAGCCTAAGGGGGAGTTCGATTAATTAGGGCATCTGCTAAGGCTGCAGAGGCTGTCGAACATCCTGGACGTTGCAGCTGTTGGTTTGGCACACCAACGTCAGTGCGTATTGTGAGTTGAGAAACCACAGCAGTAGGGCGTATTGACTACACTAGATACCGAATATTATTCAAAAATCAGTCAACTCCTCGGTGACGATCCTAAGGCATGCAAATCCCCTCACTTTCGTCATTATCCAGTTAGCAGATATGCATATTGCCTTATTCTTTCGCCTTGTTGCGACTATAACGAGAGTTACGCAACGATCCTGCAACAGCCCCTGCTCGGCTCAGTCCAAGCAGCTGGATTCTTGCGACCTGTCATTTCTGGCGAATCTCAGATCCTCGGTCAGCAATTCCAAGATAGGCACCGCGCCAATGCAACCCCGCGGCAATTGGCCAGGTTGGCCAGGTTGGCGATGGAGCGGGCTCCCAGGTGATCGATTTGAGCTTGGGCTGGGATGGCAATCGGGTTGCTCACCCAGCTTCCCAAGGACCAAGGTTGCAGCGGTACCTTGCAGGACGTAACAGAAATGCTGGGTACCCCCACCATGACGCTGACCATGAAAACTTGTTGTAGGGTATGAATACCACAGTCTCTATGATCACAATCAGGTAAGGGAAGTGATTACTGAGGGTTGTGATTTTTGCGACAGCGCAGGATCTGGTATAGAGAGATTCTGCAAGGGAGATTGGCGTGGGAGTTTCAGACCAAAGGAACCGGCTTGATTACCGCCTGGCCCGTAGTTAGTAGTGCTCATTAGGCGAGAGTATATTGAAAGCTCTATAGTCGGCTGTGAACCTTATTTGCGACACTTGGGCAAGAAGGTGTTTATTGTTCCCTGCTGGCCCATCATACGCCATAGGCATTGCATTGTGATCTCCATGACCCCTATCATCGCCTTACCGGAGAGCAAGCTCTGGCTCCTTATCCCTAGTCTTAAGTCAGGGTTTATACCCAGACCGATACCGCAATCCATGCTGTGGCTGGCATCAGCCTTAGTTGATCTATCACTTGTTATCCACAGATGATTGAGAATGACTACCCGCCTCATTTACCAACAATCCCTTACAGACCTCGAAAAGGCCTTAGTCTCTGGAAGACACCGCCTGCTCCTGATACGAACTGTCCTCACCGTCAAGAGACTCTAGCGACCCACAGGACTGGGTCCAGAGATTAGCCCTGAGATGAGATCCTCGGGCGAAGCAAATCAATACCACGTCGTATCTGCCCAAAGAGACGCGTTGTAACGCTGATTCCTCGAAGAGTATCAGCTTGCGAGCTGGACATCCGCGCGTTGTAACAGTAGCAACGATATCCTTAGGGCCCTGCATTATCTGATCCTATCTTCACATCTGGCAGATCTTTGTTTCCCTCCCCTGCCCTAGAGTTTACGTTGTCATGTTTGATCGTCGAAATTCGCAAGCATTACCCCTAATCAGTATGATGCCGTCGGTGAAGCCGGCTCGATCTGGCACTTAAACCATTTCTTTTGTAGAAGATGAAGCTCGAAATCGACCCTTTTTTGGCGTCCGCGGGAAGAGCCTTGATTAGGGGAAACGGGCGGCTAAATCTGGGGCCGTAGTGGCCGTTCCCGCGCGTGCTTTTGCTTTTTGAGCGTGAATCAGAAATGGCCATAGTAGCGAGAACAACTGACTACCTTTGAAGGGAAAACATGGTGCTGGAAATGGTTGTTTGCTTATACGGTGACAAGATAGGATGAGCTAGAGTTCGTCGGTCAACAATTTTAGCATAAATGGGTTACTACCAACTATACATGTCACAGAATCTGTATTGAAACGGCACAGCGTGGGATGAATCCAATTGGGCTGTGGCGCGCGCGCACGGTTTTGCGCCTCGTTCCAACACATGGCCAACGATTTGCCCGTGCAGTAGAAACAAAGACAAGGACAAGGTCTGCTGCAATGGAATGGCTGAAGTGTTGTCTGTAGCTGATAATAGCCTGCCAAAGAACCACTGTGGGATTGAGTAGGCTGCCTCTTGGTGTTGCACACCTGTCCCAAGCCCATGGTAGACGGAGATCCCCCAAAACGCCAACGTCATTTTGGTATCTTCCGGCTGGATAATTTTCAATAGACCATCCCTTGAACACGCTTGAACTCTATCCTGCGGCACAGTAAAAGTGTAAGCCATCGATTGGGTCATAGGGACAGATGATTCGCATCTATTACTCGGATCGTGATCCGCGGTCTTGGTTCTTGTAACGGGTCTCTTGTCTCAGGAGAGACTCATTCCTAGTGATTAGCATCTCCAGATATGGGTCTTCATCATTCACGGAATAAGATCCCTCAGGCATCACTTGCATTAACCTTGAGAGCTAGACTATTATTCTGGTTCGAATCGCGTGATCAAATTGTGTTGCAGATTTAAGATACGGAACTAGGTATCGAAGAAATGGAATGTATTGGGACCAAAAACCAAGCAAAATCATGATCGTTCGGCAGATGTATTTCCAGCCAGATGGATTCTCCGAGTCTGAGCGCGCAACAACTAAGTCAAACCCGCGCCTTCCGGCCCGGGACGGGATTTTCATTTTTGTACTCTCTTTCGGGCGATATTTTGACACACAGACATTGATTGACAGCAGCGCATGCATGGGTCTTATACGAATTCTTTGAGGGCCTATGGGATATCTTCCCCTGTAAATGGGACCCATTAAGATGAGCCTATCTCAGTAATGAGCACTGAGCGTTGAGCTACGGAGAACAGTTCGTCCCTTCCGGACTGGGCGTGAGTGTGCACGGCGCGCAGAGGGAAAGAGTCAGTGATCCACCAGCTGTTATGTCTCTGATTCGATATGATATGATCTGAGGTTAGGACGAAAAACAGGTCGGTGCTTTGCTGTAAGGCAGTTGCCACAAACCAGACTGTCGGGAGAAGAAGCAAGATCGATCGCACAATAAGCTCAGACTGCCAAGCTAAGGTAAGGTAAGACTGCAACAACCAACAGCAGGCACATCGCGGCCCGCCCATTTGGTTGTCACGCACCACAAAGATTCTAAAATGCGCGAGATATGATGAATTACATCTGCCGATACTCACATTTCCCCCAATGCGTAAAGTATTACGTCTGCATTATCTCTTCATCTCTTCATCTCATCAGCTGGCCATTGAGCCCCCCTTTAAGCGGAGAATCCGAGTCAGCCGCAGCGCAACAGAGAGGGCGCCACCTACTGTAGGTGAGAGATGATATATCTGATTTGTTAAGGGCACAGTTGCAGATGACGACTCCATCGGGTACCTTGCTAAACCATCTAGGGTATTCCTTAACGAGCTGAGAAGAGTCGCATTCGTGAACGATCCTGGTCCTCTAATGCTCTCGTCGTGCCGCAGCCTCAGTTTGAACTGAGCTCGACTGAATTGGACAGACTGACGTGGAAGCTAGAGTAACACCCAAGGATCGATGCCATGGATTTATTCAGGCCCCCGTCATTCTTGCTGCAAAATCTCATCTCTTCCCCTGTTCAGCAGCATACAAAGCAACCCATTCAAACAGTCAACGCAACTCGACGTGCCCCGCAGAGGATCAATCGACGATCATAGGTCACTACCCACCAAGAATCGCAAGCAATACCACAAACAAGCATAACGAGGTGACGAGTTGACATTTCGATATACAGCCACTGTAACTGAATTGCCAAAAGAAAACCCCAGCCAAACGCATGTGATGGTGGTGAGGTGTAGTCAATACACGTGCTCATCACGCAAGCAATCAATTTATCGATCAATCAATCGATCAATTCAACGGCAGTCAACGCCAGACATGTCTTCGATTGACGCACAGCATATTCTGTCAAACGAAAGAAGCCCTAACCTTGCACTTTTGACCTACACCATCATACAAACACAAGCCTGAGTCGAATCGCGATTCAACAAACTCATACCCCTAGTGCTGGTCGAAGTGCCTCTAAGAATTTCCAGAGACCAATGGTGTCACTGGATTCTCTTCTCGTCTCTTTTCTCTTCAGCTCTCCAATCCTGTTAGAGGAAGCCCAACTAAAACTAGGGGAGGGAACCCGATTAGTCAACCCAACCCCTCTTCGCGACTAATGCCGCTGGTACAGTAGATTACTCAACCCTACTTCGACCTACTGAAGTCGATCATTTATCACATTTCAGCGATGCATTCTTTTGGGTTCTTTGGGAGGGGGTGTCAATGCCCGAACAAGATCAACCAGGTCAGGAACTTCAATTGACGCCACAGGTGAGTGAAAAAAGCATCTGGGTTCCAACATGCTGAGATCGTGGCTGATGCGCCTCTTTGCCCTTTCCCGATCCCGACGTTTTCCCCAGCGCCCCGATATCGATAACTCCAGGGCCAATTGTACAAGACAATATCGTAAAGTGGTCTCAAGCCTCACTTCACCATGGTAAACTTCATGATGCTCAGCAGGGCGAATGCTAAAAGCAGGGCGACGGGGCGAAAGTTTAGCCTCACATACAGTGGCGATACTTTTACATGACCCAGCAGTCTGGGATGACTCCAAGGGTAAATAAAGATGCTCTGAACAGAACATCAAGTATGTACGACAGCGATGTGCAGTATGTCTTGCCCTCTGATGAGTACTCATTTCCCACTTCCACGGATCATGTGCTATCCGGACGAACCAGAACACAAGGTCGTCGTTTGCCAGAGCCCTAGATCCCTCCAAGATCCATCCAGGGCGGGTGTCGCTATGATTTGTGATATACGACGAGAAAAGCCCTGACAAAGGCACCTCGAGTCGTTATTTGTGTATGAATCTCCGAAGGGAGTGCCCGAAATCCATCGGTACCCTCCTATTTGAGTCCGATTTTCTACTCCTATTTACTCTTGTTTCGGGGTTCAACTTAATCTGCATCGAAATGATGCAAGATGTGAGGTTTCAATATTGATTTGTTGTGGCTATAACTCCCCGGTGCAAGGGGCAGAACGCCAATATGACCGCAAATGGCTTTGTGCAGGCTGTATAACTTGCTTTCAGAGACAACAAAGAATGTCATACAGGAAATGCCGTTGTTTTCCCCTTTTCGATTTGATCACGCATGCACGATCTTTCCTCGTGGTCATCGTTTTAATGCCAAGGTAATTGCAAACTTGCCTGTGATTACTTTTTTTCGGTCCCGAGGGTGCGTGGTCGAGATTCGTGGCTGAACGCCAAAAAGATAGGGATGTCATGCCTCCTGTCGTGACGTTTCATGAGCAAACATTTTCAGCTGACTGTACAGTAATTACCATGCATGCAAGATTCGATCTTGGAGGCTCTGGTTGGAGCTTGTGGGAGACGTCGTGCGGAGCCAACCAGGGTTTGCACAGGTGTCGAGGTGACATCGCGTTCACCAAGAGGGTCCTCCCCACGAAACCTGAGTTCCAGCCTTCGCTTCTACAACTCTTGCAGGTGGATGGCCTTCGCAAAGTTCACCACGACTCGATATGCCCGTGTCATTATTCACATGGTCCCAAGACCCGATCTCCAAGCGCCCTGGTCGCGATCCCCCATCTGGCTGAATCAGAGATCATAGTCTTGGCACGATGCCTCAATATTAACAAACAAATTGTACTCCTTTCTCGGAACTGATGGTTGCCAGCTGATGACATTATTGGATCACTTCAAGACACAGAAGCAAATAAGGCTTTGCGCATCAGATCTCGGACAGGCCGGGAAATAGCAGGGGACAATAGCAAGCGTTCTGTCAACCCAAGCATTCGGGATCCGGGGGGTCGAGCGATCAACCGAGAAGGGCCTGTCGACCAGCACTTCGGCTCGTCCCGTACTGGATTCGCAAGTTCTGCCGTTTATGGACCGGTATGACTTCCTGTTCGAGTCCCAGACTCCGATGACCGTTGTGTTTTGGGATTTGACAGTTATTCTCAGACATGGAGAATTCTGGAGATGCAACTTCGCCCTCCCCTTCTAAGAGACGAGGAGACGATACGACGCAATTGTGAAAATCTTACTATATGGAGTGTCTCGACAATGGAGGACCCCCCAATTCACTACCTGTCATAATCGGCTATGGCATCATGCGGCCAGCATACGTCTGCTTTTATGCCTCTTGGGGCAAGAATCGCGAAACTACCATGTCAACAGAGGCCTTTTTTGACCGTTTCAGTATCTATCGTCGTATTTGCCGAGGATTATTCGTAACAGAAGGCTGACAGAGTTAAGATAAATCAGATGCGAACTACATGGTTGTTTGTCCAACTCGAATGCGGCAGCGAACTGCGATTTGCGCCTTTTTTGCACACCGTATCATCATGTTTTGGCCAGAGATGCTGTGATGATATGGGGCCGCATCAGATCCTGAGACTGCTGTGCCGTTCGTATGGAGGATCGCAAGAAAGTTCTTGTCATATGGGTTCAACTATCAACCGAAGACTCGTCTGTCACATCAGAGCTACGCCTGTTTGAACGCAGGCCTCTCACGCCCACAATAGTCCCCCCCGCTGCAGAACATGATAATCACGTTTCTAAGCTTTTCAAAAAACATTTTGAATGTTGAATGGGTTACCGGAGCGGACACAGCTCCATGAGGATGGCCAGGCATGGAGGAAGCGATTTGGATAACCTATCATGTCACTTTGTCATGTCTGCACCATTCATATGCGACTGATGACTCGCGGTGGTTGTTAAGTCTTAAGGTCGATGTGGTACTCACTTGCGAGGATCTATTCTCGGCAGTGAATGAATGGGCAATGTACGGATATCTCACATGTGCCCCTGTACGAATCGACTGATTTTGCTATCTCAAGGGCCAGGGTTGAAAGGATGCGCTTCCCCGTGCGAAAAGTTTTCAACAAACATAAGGGGGGTTTTTGAATGGAAATTTGTCTTGTTTCTTTGGCCTAAAAATTCTCGTTTCCACGGTTGGCGTGATCTCTTTCCAGCCGATGGCGGCTGCGGAGAAGCTCGGGAAGGCTCAGGCAATCTGTGGTGTGATTGTGACTGGATGTCGGGAATTCGAGGGTTCGATTGAATTTCGGCGAGATCTTGACACTGAATCCAGGTACGCAAGTTTCAGGGACCGGAACAGAGTCTGTTTGATTGGGTGTGATATCCGGGGTATTTGGGATGAGCTTTCGGTTTGTAAATGTTCGTGATGCATGAGGTTCTGGTGAGTGCTGTGAACGTATCAAGCCATGGGCTGATGGTCAGGACATGACATGGAGATTGCTGAGTAGTGACAGGCATGACTATGTGTAGGTAGTAGGCCAATTCATTTCCATATTTTGTGTTTGAAATACCTCTCTACTATAGCTGGCGTGTGCTATAGACACTCAATGTTTGTCACTTCGTGGTGTAGGGTATGCTTGACTCAACTGGCGCTGGAGGCGTTGTGGTAACACTCGGTCGCTATATTTCGACAGTGATAATTGTAGTATATAATGATAGGCTTGGTGTAAGGCTTATCATTATGTACTGGTCTTGCTCATTTTCTGGGTGACTGACTTACACCGTAGTTGTGATGTATTGCTAGGATGAATCATGTTCGTATAAGCATTCAAAGCTGTAGCACGACACGCTAAACGTCCTCGACTCAAGTGGTCAAGTAAAGATGCGATTCGGTATTTATCATATATAAGAGAAACCAGTCAATTTGTTGACAAGACTGAGTTTCAGTCACCAGTAGAGTTGATTCAAAGTACTGATATATGTGAGGGGTGATGCACCATGTTTACTGACAGCACCAACTATTGTCTTTGGTTACAGCTTGAAGTCTATACGAACCCAAATCAAGAAGAGGATCGAATGGTGAAATATGTTTACCATCCGTTGAAGTTTCCGAGCATGACAAACCGAGTCTTGTAGGTGTTTCACTGCGTCATATCTCAAGCTCACGAGATAAAATCAATAAGAAACAACTACAGCCAACATATGGGAGCAAGATGTCTGAATCACGGGCAGTATTTAGTACAAAAACCACTGCCCCCACAGCCAAGTAGGAACTCAACTTGGCAGAAAATAAAGATAAAGCTTACAGCTACTATCCGGAACTGGCTGCAAATCAACATCTTCTAAGCTACCGACCTCTTATAATAATGTGTGTCTTGACCTGCACCAAGTACGACTGTACACAATGCCAGCGAGCTATAAATGGCACTGAGCAACTCAAGACCTGTCCTGAGATGAGACAGGGTATCAAATGCGAGACAACTAACGAGTATATCACCGAGTACGTCTCAGCTGATCAGTGCGAGGCGTGCGAGATGCGTAGGATTGAGGCTGAAGAGGCTGCTGCGGCAGAGGAGGAGGCGAAGAAGGCAAAGGCGACCTAAGCAGCGATAACAATGAGGATGGGTTAGGTTAAAGTGGCTCTGCCATATACTGTGCAATAGAGTGATGAGTGGTGACTTATGCTTTGGGCGTATGCCTCATGAAACGTGCTCTTCACTTCCTAGATGCCATCTAAATCTAAAATGTAATCGTGATAACGTAAATCCCCAACGCCATGCGGAACAGATTACACCTTAAACCCACTGAGGAATATAGTACTTGACATTTTCATACACCAAGAACGTCACCCACGTCGCGGGCATAACCCTAACAACACCCGGTACCATACCACGATAGAACCCTCTAAGTCCATCCTCGGTCCATATTCTTACAACGACGCCTCTGATACCCCGACCGAACCGTTCGTCAGCTTGGTAGTTCTGAAGTCTACTCCGGAGTACTTGATACGGATACGTGACGGCACCAGCGACGAATTTGGACAGACTCGATAACCCAACTGTTGCCTCAGTGGTCATATGCTCCCTTTCGATGCCGTGCTTCTCACGACGCCGCGCGTGGTACCATTTCTTTGCGGGCTCGTATACTGCAAACTGTACAGCGCCGTGGGAGACCCCTATTAGAGAAATGCCCAGACCACGGTAGAAGCCCCGAATGCCCTCAGTCCGAAGGATGGAGCGGGCGCCAGCCAACATAGAAGGATATGCACCTTGAGAGCCTCGATCAGAGGATACCATGCGTACTTTAAGAACCCATATAGGGTTGGTTAACGTAGTCGTTGATGCGCCTGCCAAAGCACTAGCGATGAAGTAATCGCCTCCAGAGGGACGTCCTCCAGGCCGACCCTGCCACGTAGCGAGAGCGCGCTCAAAGCGCGACTTGAAAAAGAAGAAAGAGGCCCAACTAGAGGCATTTCCGACAAGATTAGGCGTTAGACCGCGGTAGAGAGAGGCGACAGGGTGAGGAGTAGATGTCAAGGCACGGAGAATAGATACTGTTGTTGGACGCACAGCATCGGGGGTTGCGCTACGATAGACTAAAAGTAATTGTTAGACACTGTAATTGCGCGGTAGATAAGCAAAACCAAAATAGTCATACTCTGCATGCGAGTCTTGACGACGTCGAGAGGGTGAACAGTCAAGGTCGCGACTGTACCAGCGCTGAGACCAGCGATGGACTCGATGGCCGCGGGAGAGAGTCCCGCATGATTTAAGTCGGGCATATAGGGAAATCAGATATTTCTATAAGCCGAATATCATATTTTATGAGGTTAAAGAGAACAGCAGAGCGCCATGAGGGAGAGTGGTGGTTGAAAAAGTTGGAAGTCGCTGAAATAATTGTTCGATATAATATTTCTGCGGATCTCAAAGCTACGGAAGCTCGGCCGAGGTTTCGACGTCACCAGAGCAATTCTTGCGTCTTCTGCCGCATCAAACCGAAATTCACACGGTCAAATTTTCATTGAAGGAGTATTATGTGACAAGATTTAATTATGAGTGGTATTCCCTTATTCTGGGCTTCATAGCGTTGCAAGATGATACATGGTGATTTTTCACACTCATTCGTACACAGTCAACCCCTCCTCCCAAGCATATCTGCGGTCGTCGTCGAATTTTACCACGCCTTGTCCCAACGCCATGAATGCTGGTAGTAGTTGTCCCTTTCTCCCTCGAAAAGCATCTTCACAAGATAATGTACACTGTTATGTTTCGTATAGCTGTAGAACTGCTCCTTGCTTAGGAGAGGGGAGAGAGAAGGCTAAATGGACTAAGTTAGCCTTGTTTGTGTATGTGGTTCGTAGGGATCGATGCATACCGGATGACTGAAGGTCGGGGCTCGCTTCGGGTGTAGCCTGGGATATATAGTCAGTATTGCCGTTACGATCGCATGTCGTTATTCGAGCTTGTTCGTACCAAGATAGAGGATCAGAGGAAGATAGCCACTGTAACACCAATCAGTTATTGCCCAACGACAAAACCAAATATCGACATACTAGTGAATGGCGACGCGGGAAACGTCAATGAGCTTGGCAATGCGCTCCTGTGCTATTTGTTAGCGAAGCTGCGATAGATAGATAGATGCCTCCCCAACCTATATCATACCTTGGACTCCTCGGAAAGGGCAAACATCTTGGATTAAATCGAGGAAGTGTAATAAATGAACTTGAGATAGTTACACAACAAAACGATGTAGCTCAACCGAATGTTTCAAAGCTCGAGGCTGATAATCAATAAACCGTAGTCGTTTCTGGCGTTGGCGTTGACGTCTTCCCAAAAATTTCGGAGAGCTGCCGGGAGCTGGAAATTCCACCTCCGAATCGCGGACATTTGGGCGGAAGAACCTCGGTCGACGCCACATTTGTATCTGCACCTAGTCTGAGGTAATGTGGCTTATGCGACAAGGCTACCTCATTCATCCCAACCATCAGCCAAAATTTCCAGAAGCTCCATGTAAAGGTGATAGCTAGTTTCACCTCTTCATCGCGACAGCACAATTTCTGGCCAATCTTTCTCCTCTGTATTTGTCGAAGTATTCGAATTGGTAAGAGACAGGGGTCTCTTCAAAATCTGTCATCATGGCGCAAAATAGGCATTGGTATAGCTCTCTCGTCCCATCGCAACGCGACAACAAAGCTAACACTCTTCTCAGGGAACAAGACAAGGAGGCGACGGTTTACATCGGAAACATCGACGAGCGCGCAACATCCGCAATGGTATACGAAATCATGCTTCAGATGGGACCCATCCACAACATCCACATGCCTCGCGATCGTGTTACCCAGACACATCAGGGCTTCGGCTTCGTCGAGTTTCGCACACCCACAGACGCTGAATACGCCGCCAATGTTATGAATGGCATCAAGCTGTACGGAAAGAGCTTGCGCGTTAACAAGGCCAGCGCAGACAAGCAGCGTGCCGCTGAGGTTGGCGCCGAGCTGTTTATCGGAAACCTCGATCCCATGGTCGACGAGAAGATCCTTTACGACACGTTCAGTCGCTTCGGCCCACTACTCAGTCTGCCAAAGGTCGCGAGGGAGGAGTCTGGCGCAAGCAAGGGCTTTGGTTTTGTCAGTTTTGCCGACTTTGAGAGCAGTGATGCTGCTATTGCGAACTTGCACGGACAGTATATCTTGAGTAAGGAGGTTTCGGTGCAGTATGCCTTCAAGAAGGACGGAAAGGGAGAGAGACATGGCGATGAGGCAGAGCGAGAACTCGCTGCTCAAGCGAAGAAACGGAATATCGTTCCAGAAGCACAACCTGTGCCCCAGGCGTTTCTACAACCACCACCTGTTGCAGCTGCGCCTCCAGCTGGTTTCGATCCTTCAGCTATGGGAAGAATGCCCGTCGGTGCACCTCCACAAGGCATCCCTGGTGGGTTTGCACCTCCCGGCCGAGGTCCGTCGCCATACAATGTCGGGGTTCCGCCCCCCGGAGCTCCTCTAAGAGGCTCCGTCCCTCTACCACCAGCTCCCTCAGGTTTACCAGCGCGACCCCCACAATCACAGGCTGGATACACCAACCCAGCCGATTTCCACCCTGGCAGTTTCAGACCACCCTCCGGATCTCCGGCGCAGGGCTACCCAGTTGCTCCTCCGCCCGGATTCCCTGCTCCTCAAGGCGCCCCCGGTGCTGCTGGTGCTCCTCCCCCTGGTTTTATGCCTCCTCCAGGCTTCCAACCACCCCCTGGATTCCGTCGGTAATCTACTATCTTCGCAAAGTCATAATGCATCTCTGAAATGGGAATGCTTTTAGTAAGCTCTGGACTCAATAGAGTCCAAGATCTTGATTGGCGCCGTTATCACGGCCAAAAGCACGACCTTGGGTCGTATCTAATTACCACTTTCTGCCCCTCAAACAGCTAAGACCAAAGACATGTATGGTCAGGTATCGTACAGATCTCCATAAACCCCCGAGTCTGATATACAATCATGAAAATAATTTCTCTTTTTAAAACATGTGGGGGAACTCCTTGCCATAAACGCCAGTCCTGCGAGCTCTACTTTACCAGGTTATGCTCTCGTTCAGAAACTTCCTGCAAATGCCTCTTGGGCTTCCCTAGTCGCCCTCGCCCATTCTTGCGCTGCTTCTTCTTCCTTGCCTTGTACTTCATATGAGTGAGCAAGCATACCGTCTGCAACACTCTGCCACAGGACGTTGCCACTACGATGAGCCTGCTTGGCTGCTGCTAGGGCGCTCTTCAGGGCTTGATCACCAACGACGTTCTCGAATAAACGGCTGCGCATGATAGCGAGTGTGACGGCTGCGCCTAGTACATTCTTAGTGGACTTGGATCCGGCCATGGCAGACTGAATGTGTTGTTTTTGTTGATTAAGCTGCTGAGGTGGATCGGTGCTAATAGCGGCCATAACGTTATGCCAAGCAGTCCGTAGGTCGACATTGTGGTGGTTTAGGCATAATGGCCTTAGTTGTTCGATCAGATCGAGTGTTGCTCGGTCGTTTCGGTATGAAGGATGCTGCATGATCCAAAGCCTGTTCAGACCAGCTAGCATTGCTAACTCACGATGAGCGGCTTTGACACCGGTTCCACGCTGGTTCAGATCAAAGTCAGGCTTTTGGAAAGTATTCATAGCAGCATCCAGTTCCCCTGTGCCTTGGTCGAACACTCCCGATAGGTAGATAGCCAGCAAACGCAGGATGCCCTGTGTAGACGGTATCATGATATCCTGAAGCTTCACGATGTATTGCTTTACCAAGTCCCATTGGCAGTGACTAGCCGCGTATAGGCCAAGTAATATGGTGAGATAGCAATGAGCTTCCAGCCGCCACTCACGTTGCGCAATAGCATCTTGCAACGAGATGGACGGTCCATACCTAAACCCGGCTGTCGCTTTGTCCCCTAGTATATGTCAACAAGATGCCTTGACAATGAAGAAATGCTACTTACAAGTATCCAGGGCTTTCACGCCTTCATTCAAGAAGTCGGCTGTCTGTCGACCATGTGCGCTTGACTTGTGCATATTCACGAGACCTGTCAAAGTGAAGCTAGCGACATGTTAGCCAATATAGCAAAAATGCGTTAAAGGGGTATCAGCTCACACAAGAGAATTCAACTCGACTTTGGTCATGAATGACATGACTAGAAAATCCTCTGGAACACCCTCTCCGCTTTGAATGATGCCTGCTGTGTCACTACTAATGGTATGGCCCGTGGAGGGTTGCTTCTGGACTGGAATGAGAAAATCGGACTTGACGCTGTGCCAGTCGGTGCACGCATCCATGCGATCTTGCAACATTTTAAGCTTATCAAGTATCAAATCCAAGCCAGAGTGATTGATAGTGCAGACAAGATCCAGAAGCAGCGTCAGCATATCGAGTTGCATGATATGAATAGATGGTTCACACTGGTACTTTGCTACTTGAGCAATACAGGCTTGGACCTTTTCAATGTTGCCATCTTTGGAAGCCTTGAGAAGTGCAAGACCTTCAAGAATGAAGGCAAACACACTCAGGGCATCGTCGCCACGGGAGCTAGCTGTAACTTGGATAGAGCGAATGTTCTCCAGTGCACTGGCGTCAGCTGTCTGACCAAGCTCCATGTAAAATGAAGCCTTCAACAATCTGAAAGCATAAACCCATTGTATATGTTTGTAGCTGTGAAACAGGTCAATCAATGCCGGGCTTCGGACGCTACATAACTTACGTTTCACAGTCAGCAATTTGTCGATCAGCTGCGTTCAAAGCAGCCTTGTGATTTCGCTGAAATAAGAGCTTTAATCTGATATAATGCATACAATATTTGAGATCGGCCAAGCCATTCTGTTAAACTCGGTCAGCCATGTAACACGAAGGTTAGCCAGTCGTCGCTCACCTTTTCGCAAAGAGAGATGCCTTTTGTGACGGCCGTCTCAGCTTCCATTGGGTTCTCCGTCTCTTCTAATACTACAGTTGCGTATCTCAATCGCATCTTTGCTTCTTGACGCGGAGACAGTCTATTACTTTGCAAACACGCCTCTAGACACGCCAGGCCTGTCGAGATCAGTTTCTGATACTCATCTATTCGCGTGGCGTTTAGGGACATCGCGACATCGTGTACAGAGCCACGGGCCTTATCAAAGCACTCTTCGGCCACTGCCACCATAAGATGGACAGTGTCTAGGGGCCTACTTTTTGGCGTGGTCGCGGGTGATTTCTTGGTAATACTCGGAGAGCGAGCGCTAATTGCCGGTGAGTTGACGATGGATGAGAGAGGGCTAGGTTTTGCCCGGGGAGTGGCCAGTTGAGGTTGCATTTGCGCCGGTTGATGATGATGAGATGTCTGCGCTTTTGGTTGAGGTGGTGGGAGAGGCTGAGTTTGTGGACTGCTCAGCATAATGTCCACAGGCTTGACAGTGCCAGATTCGTACTGCGCGTCCCAGTTCGTTGTCTTCCCGGTCTGAGGCGTAGGGCCGCCTTGTGTCTGATCCATGGTTATTGGTGGAAGCGGTGGCATTTTTTGGATGTCTTGCAGATTCACATAGACCATCTGCTCCGGTTCCTGCTGCGCAAGTGGCTGTTGCTTAGTTGGTTCCGAGACAGGCTGTTGCACAGCCTCCGATGCGGGCTCATCTATATCTATTATCATAGGTTTTTGCACAGGTTGTCGAATTGTGTCTTGCTGCTGTTTCGAAGGGTCTTGGCGTGGCTGCTGGCTCTGTTTTATTTGTCGAGCCTGTGGCTGAGCCGGCGAGGCTACCTGCTTTGGTGTAGGTTGCGGTGATGGCTGAGGAGCCGTCACCTGATGCTGCTGCTGATAGTGCGTATGTTGCTGCTGCTGCTGGTATTGTTGCTGTGGCGTATGCTGCTGCGAATACTGTTGGTGTTGAGACCGTTGTTGCTGCGCCTGGGGGAGTGGATATCCTTGGTTTTGTGGTATCGAAGAGGGCCTTTGCTGCGGCGAAGGGACGTGGCCAGACTGCCTTCTCGGTTGAACGTGTTGTTGAGGCGACGCGACGTGCTGCTGGTACATATGTTGCTGCTGTTGATGATGCGGTTGCTGATATTGTTGCTGATACATCATGCTCTGCCCTCCCGTAGATTGCTGCTGCTGCCAAACATTCGCTGGAGGTGTATATTGCGCGGCAGCTGCCTGCATCTGGTGCCCCCCATACGCTTGTCCAGCTGTGTCATATCCCTGAAAAGCCGTCTGCATGCCCCCGAACTGCGCCATCTGCTGCTGCTGAAGGTACGGTTGTTGTTGCTGCTGACCTTGCTGTGGGGGCATCGAATAGAACTGCTGCTGCTGTTGAGGATTCGTATACTGCTGGTAGCCGCCGGGCATATACGATGAAGGCGGATTCATTCCGGGTACTGGCAGCGGTTGCTGTGAGCCTTGTTGGCCCTGGCCCTGGCCATGGCCATGAAAAGGCCTGTAGCTCATGGCCTCTCCTAATTCACTGTATTCCGCTCTCGGTATCGATTTCAGCATTCGATTCGTCGTTCGTCGTGGTGCGCAGACCAACGCGATTGCGCTTCATGGTCCGTCTTGGGCCGTCGGTGCGTTTCCCATTCACGGACGGTTTCGTGTCGGCTCGCTTATCAAACACAGCTGTCTATAGCACAATCTATCGAGGCTCGGCCGTCCTGCTCGTTATTATCTTGTTTGCTGCGTCTGCGGATTCGATCGTGTTGGGTTTAAACCACAAAACAACGGGAGGCACGAGTGCGACAGGATCCTATCGTCGTGTCGCAGAGCAATGTGATTGGTCGAGACGGGATGGTAATTGCGGAACTACAAGTCAAACTAACGATTATTCAATGGAACCAACAAAACTTCCCATGAGAGCCTTATCTTGGTGTAATTCTAGTTGTCTTCACTTGCATTTATTCATAAAAAGTATTAACAAAGAATCATAAGTTAAATTATTCATCATGTGCTGCAATCATTGCTCGTGACATGTTATTATCTTACACCTTGCGATAAGTTTCCAACATGTCTGCTACTTTTGAACAAGCCCCAATGTAGTAGATCATCCCTACCAAGACAAAGAAAATCCAAGGCCCATGCGCATTTCTATAATCATACCGCTGTGCGCCAGGGCATGCAAGATCCTCCTTGGGTATTATAAGAAGAAACAACCAAATATGCGAGGAAACTCCAACGAAGTCTGCCCATTGCTAATCCTCCGACATGTAATGCTCAACCCATACAAACCCATTCAGCAAAGACACACCATCGAGCTGTGCGATCTGCGAGTACAAGGCCTCGCCATACACCCTTCTCTGAACACTTGATTATTGTCTCCCAGGTTCCACCATCACTAGCGGTTTCGCTGCCTGAAAGACTTCGGCCTCCAACGTGAATACCCTTACGATCCTCCTTCCTCATAAGACGGAGGATCTTGCCTCCTGGTGTCTGGATTGCCAGTTTGGCAGGCTTCTTCCCAGCCACAGTGCCCGTAGCTGAGCTTGGGGTCGAGCCACTAACACTTGACGCATTCATGCTCAGCGCTGAACTGGGGCGGGCGAACGGTATGGGGCTGGTGCCGCCTGGATTAGACGACGGTGTAAGTGCCGACCCACCCAGCGAACTTGGATGCTGTCTGATGGCAAAGACAAAAGTATTGTTAAGTGCAAGCCTTTGGCACTGCGGCTGAACCACATAGATATCATGCCGCTGTGCGTGAGGAGTTGGATGCCTTGTAACAAACTCATAAGGCGGGTTTTCGCCTGTGTGGACAATAGGCAATGCAAAGGCAAGGGGGTGTGGAATATCCTTGATGCTATGCATAAGACCTCGCTTGCCAGCATAAATCTTCAAGGTTCCCTGCCCTTCATCTCCAGGTAGTAGAGCTTTGACAGTGTATCGCTTGATGCCATTGAACCATTCAGCTTGAGCCAGTGCCCTCTTCTTGACGATATCGCCGCTTTCAAATACATCTCCGTCTGAATCTCTCGAATAACCTCGGACTTCGACCTCGGCGGCGATCTCCACGTCGCATGGAACACTGAATTTGATATGAACCATCTCCAGATCTTCGATTCGAGTCAATGCAGTATTATAATCCACCATCTCGAAACCATTGCGGAAGAACGGCGCACAAGCGCATGGCAGGTTGAGGAGTGTTTCATGTGCGACAGGAGGTACGATGTGCTGCTGACTGTGATGCTCTGGGATATGCGTCCAGCAAATCTCCAGTGGCCTGGTCAAGAACCACCAGGGATCAGCTGTGTTATTTGCATTGGAGTATAAACCTCGCCGAGGATACGAGGGACTGGCAAGACAGCAGTCAATCATGCGCCACTCATTGTCAACGAGAACAGCATTCCACCAGTGATTGGGTCGAGGCATGATGTTAATTTCGGAAACTTCGCCTGGGGACTTGAGGTAGCCTCGAACGATCTCACAGTGGATACCGATCGCAGAACACATATCCATCACCAGGACAGCATACTCCTCAGCGCATGCCCTTTTGGCCTGGATAACTCGTGTTGTGTCGATTTCACCCTCAAAGTCCTCTTCCCAGCAAATCTTTTCGGAGACCCACGTGAAGATTGCTCGCAGCCGCTGTACCTCGCTCCTGTACGGTCGGCATACGTATGTAGTGGCAAGTTGGATAGCTGTTATGGCGGGAGGAAGACCGCTGATGAATCGGGAGCTCTTGTCTACTTGAGACAAGTTAATCCCTTGGTAGTTGGTGGGTTCCTGGACTGGCTCCCCGTCAGCTCCCTCATCTCCTTCGACGCCCTCATAGAGCTCATCGACAGGATTAAGGGCAGGGTGATCCATCATTTGACATCGCTCTCGGCGCTCAGTCAACTCTATTGTGCTGAGCGAGTTGGAACGATTCACATCACGCCGGACCTGGACCCAATCAACACCGCCACTAAGCCCCATTTCTGTCGCAACGTCTCTGTTGGGAGGCGTGCTACCCATACCTGGCATAGGCGAAGCTCCAGCTGGCATTGAACGAGCAAAGGGTGATTTTGGCGAGTCCATGCCGAGACCACCAGCAACCAAACCGCCCCGGCTGCTCGCAACACCTGTTTTGGCAGTGTCAAATATCTTACGAAAGATGTTCCTCTTGGGTGGTTTCGGTTGCACCAAGCCTCCTAATTCCAAGGAAGGATCATCATGGAAGCCGGCTTGGGTCTGGGGACGCTGTTGCGCTGGAGAGTCACTTGCATGGCTGCTGTGATAGGTAACTCCTGTGAAAGGAGAGTCTGGCCTATCAATCTCCAAGTCTCGTGCTCCCAGGGCGCTTTGGGCACGTTGACGCTTGCCTGAGCGTGCGAGGCTTCCAGCACTAGTAGTACTGAAAGCACCAGCTGATGTTCCGCTCCATAAGGTTCTTGAAGTGCTCTGTGTTGATGAGCTGGTGTTGCTCTGATTGCCCGACGAGGAATTGGTCGAGTTGGTTTTTGTTGTTAATGTGCGGGCGACTCCTCTTCCAATCTCATACGCCGACTTGCGAGCTCGTAGCTTTCGTTCAGGCTCAATGGACCGGCCCATAGACGACTTCGGCCGCTCGTACGGCACATTCTTAGGGGGCGGGGGAGGTGGCTGATCGTCATCAGGCTCGCTAGTCCTTGAGTTCTGACGATGCATTTGCTGAAACCGCTTTTCCATGCGATCAACATAGCTGCTGAGCTTATCTTCTCTTCCTCCGCCTTGATAAGACACCTCTTGAGACGATTCGCCGCTATATGTTTCATATCCCTCATCTTGCGCGATTCCCATCGAGGTTTTAGGTCTGCTTCGCCCCTGGTCCCTTTTATTTGAACGATGAGACAGCATATCAAAGGATTCTGGAGACCAAGGATCGGCAGGTGGCTCAGGTGAAGGAGCTGGGCCAGGCCTTCCGAGACCACCACCTAGCACGTCTAATTGCTCCATGACACCATCCATGGCCTCTCTCAATGGAGAAGGCGTCATACCTCCGGCTGGTGATGGTGGAACAGGGGAGTTCCTACCAGGGGTATATGGCATATATGACCTATCATCGAAAGATCCTCTAGATCCATGCCTAATTGTTGGTTGTGGTGGTTGTGGCGGTCGGTAGGAATTATTTGAATTTTGCCTCGAGGGTGAGAAGGGTTGGAAAGAGGCATTGGATCCATGACGTGAGATATCAATAGATCTCCTATGCAGATCGTTGGATCCTCCTCTCGTCATTTGCCGGTGAGGAGGTGGTGGTGGGGGAGGCGGTGAGTTACCTCTGTCTTGTCCTCCTCGATAAGGTACTATTTGACGATGGAAAGATGGCGCGGGCGATGGACCTCTTGAAGCATAGCCATAGCTTTGGTGCATTGGAGGAGCAGGAGAAGGCCCCCTTGCATCGTAACCATGAGGAGGAGCTGGTGATGGAGCTCTTGAATGGTGGTAACTTTGAATTGGCGCAGGTGAGGGAGCCCTCGAGTGGTAGTTGTGCATAGGAGCTGGAGATGGAGCCCGTGAGCCATAGTGGTGAGAAGGGGCCGGTGAGGGTGCTGGCGAAGGAGCCCGGTGATCGTACACTTGAGGTGGTGCAGGTGAAGGTGCTCTGTGGTTATATGGCTGAGGAGGTGCAGGTGATGGGCCTCGTTCCGTTTCATGAGTACTAGGGGCGAATGAAGCGCCAGAGTTTTGTCGTTCCTTAGGTTTTGGGGTCTCTTTGAAGATCTCGGGTTGTTTCGCACTGGTGTAGTGAGGAGCCTTGGCGTATGCTTCGAATGGCTTTCGAAATGTTCTGGACTTTGTCGGTGCAGTACTTGGCGGTGCGTTTGGTACAGGAGCCGGAACCGATTTGGTTGTTGGGCGGAATTGAGAAGGGAGAAGCTCGACAAAGTTGGAAGGGAATGATCCGACGGTCCTTCGATCTCGGTATAGTCTGCCTACCCACCACGAACCATCACCAGCATTCAGACATTCTATCAGATCTCCCTCGATGAATCCCAGATCTCGTTTCGACTGTTTTCAATTTAGCTTAATATGAGACTCAAGAGGCCTGGAAACAAACCTCTCCTCCCCATGAGTATACAGCTCTACACCAACATGGGAACCTCGTCGGTAGAGGTGGTGCGGCGGGTGCCATATTGTTGGCGAATGATTCAAGCAGAGACTAAACAAGGCCCAAAGTAGGTGGTTTGGACTCGAGCAATTCGAGACGCGGCGAAATGAGGATTTATCGGACTGTAGATACAGGCATATCAAACACGATTTTGTCGGACAGGGCTTAACGACCAAAAACACGATATGCGAGGGCCCAAAACGAACAAGTCTCAGGATGGCGGATATGGCTGTGCAAAGGTAATGAATGAGAAATAAAAATAATTACCACAGATCGTGGAATGTGCAATAAGGCAAGACAGAGGCCTCGAGAGAAAGGCTCTTGTAAAATGAAGAGCGCAAGAAGCGTGTTGAAAAGAAACGACGGTTTGAAGCTACGCCTGTCAAAAAAGCGGTAGGACAGCCGCGGTGCTCGAGCGTCTGGCGTCACAGCTGAGAGAGGTCGCGGTTGCTAGGGCAACACGAGATCGGCGGGGGTTGGCGGTTCAGTTGTCCCACGGAAGCTTTGGCCATTTGAATGCAAGGGGAGCCTTGGACTTAACTGAGACAACGGAAACAATGTTGGATAGAGGGAATCGACCTGCCTAGGCGAGTCACAAAGAAGTTCGCATACCAGAGGGACAAAATCATCAGACAGTCAGAAAACTTTCCTTCGGAATATGCACTTATTATTTTGAGAAAGGCTGGACCTTGGTTTTTTTGGTCTTGTTCCCAAGTTCTTTCTTAACATCTTAACTAAGATAGGGCTGATCTGTGATACCCACCAGGTACTCCCAGAGCTCGTGCATATTTCTTCTTGATCGTATTTTCATCTGAACATTATCGTCAGTCGGAAAAATAGGCAATGTGCAGCTGCCGTGTCACTCTGTTATCAATGGTTCAACTGCCCTGCATGAAGGTGGCCTCGTTTTTCGCATAGGTTGGCAGTATTTAGATTTAGGTAGCAAGTCAAACATTGGAGGGTGGTCCATTTCTACCCTGTGGTCTAGATGCTAAAGTCAACGTTGCTGGGGATCGCAAACGTGCATTGGCCATCCTGCAAACTTGGAGCTGGGTGTGAGGCTGTGGGTGCATTTCCCCATCTCACTTTAATTGGAGCCCTGTTCTGGTTGCAATGTTGCATGATCATGAAGATCCTGGGAGCATATAACAAACAAGACTATGATGAGAGACGGGGATATAGCATGAAGATAAGGATTCCTCCATCAAGTGAACGCACTTTTTCGCTTATGCGATGACAATCTGCATTTGACATTCAGATATGCCCATCTGACTGAATCCGAGTTCTCCATACACACAGAGCAATGAATGAATATCAAAGTATTCTTGAATGGATGCGACAATTCTTTTGATTGATAATAAATTTTACTCTCGTGACCATGTCTCTCTACCCCATACTTCTTCTGAGACCACCTTTCCTCATCCAGAGTTCATTGACATCAGCAGTCTCAGTCGTTAAGAGCAACAATACACTAGATGCGTATCACTCTCTTGTCCTAAGTTCCAGAGTCTCTTGTGCCTAGAGACGGATGAGGCGTTGTGTTGTAACCTCCACAACCCGTACCTTACCTTAGTGCGTTGGAGAGTGTACAAGAAAACAACGGACATGATAGAGGAAGACATAAAGAGATAGACATCCACCATACTTGTCACAGTGACAAACAGCACCACTGTTTTAAGTCACGTAATCTTTTTCTGTCCTAACTAAAAACCGAGCCATAGAAACAAGCAATCTGGGCACTAAGCAATGCGCCAGGGGTGTCCAAGAGGGCATGACAAGCTAAAAACGACCGGGGGATAGGATAGCTCCCCACTGAGTGTGGCACGGACTGCAACGTACCTAAGTGAGAAGTCATGAGAGACAAACCAGTTGGTATGTGACTCTTTGGCAGAGACTCCACGAACCTGCATTTGCTATATAAGCGCGGAAGGAATATTTTGAACCAGAGAACTATCAATTCTAGTCTTTTTCAATATTTAATTTCATAATCTTTCAACAACCTTTTATTTTCGATCTATTGCTTGCACCAGTGTCGGACTATCCACTCGATTAGCTGCCCTCCCTCAAGCTCTCGTCTCAAAGTAAACAAAAGCGCCAGGGGTTCCATCTGGCTATAGCGTTCGACAGGGTCCGCTTCCCAGACAACCATTCGTCTACCTTGACATTCACCCGCATGACTTTTAATAAACGACGACTCCAACTCATCGCGCACGCTTTTGTATCTTGTTAATATTATTCGATTCCCTCAGCAGACGATCTTGCGCATTGCATTAATCTCAAGTCTCAGCTTCAGCTTTGTTTATTCCGTTGTCTCCTCTGCCCGAGCGACGTGAATCCGAACAACGTCGAGACAGTGCATGACGTCAATTCACAATGGCTGACGAAGGCGTTGCTGAGCATTATCAGGTTCTCGAGGAACTTGGCCGTAAGTATCAAGACGTTTGGGCATCTCTTCACATTGACTAATGGTGTCCTAGGTGGTAGTTTTGGCGTCGTCTACAAAGGCATTGAGAAAGCAACTGGCGAAACTGTCGCTATCAAACATGTAAGTCCGATCATCTTGGTTGCCTGGTATACGAGCTAACAAACAATGTCAACAGATCGACCTTGAATCCAACGATGATGATATCCAAGATATCCAAGCCGAAATCGCTGTCCTGAGCACTTGCGCCAGCTCTTACGTTACCCAATACAAAGGCTCTTTTTTGCGAGGCCATAAGTTATGGATTGTCATGGAATATCTCGGCGGCGGATCCTGTTTGGACCTGGTATGTCTCTCCATAAAATACTCCGACACGAAGTCTCAACTGCTAACCGGGAATAGCTGAAACCCGCCAACTTCAGCGAAACACACATTGCCATTGTTTGTCGTGAACTGTTACTAGGCATTCAATACCTTCACAATGAGGGCAAAATCCACAGAGATATCAAGGCCGCCAACGTTCTCTTATCCGAGACCGGCAAAGTCAAGCTTGCCGATTTTGGTGTTGCAGCCCAATTGACCAACATCAAATCGCAGCGAAACACCTTTGTCGGAACACCTTTCTGGATGGCCCCGGAGGTTATTCAGCAAGATGGTTACAGCTTCAAGGCCGATATTTGGTCTCTGGGTATCACAGCTATGGAGATGGCCAACGGTGAACCCCCATTGTGCCACATTCACCCCATGAAGGTCCTCTTTCACATCCCGAAAAACCCGGCTCCCCGTCTTGAGGGCAACTTCAGCAAAGATTTCAAGGACTTCATTGCACAATGCCTCACCAAGGACTATGACCGTCGACCGTCCGCAAAAGACCTACTACGCCACCGTTTCGTCCGTAACGCGGGCAAGGTTGAGGCTCTGCAGGAACTTATTGCTCGTCGACAGATGTGGGATGCCAATCAGAACAGACAGAAGCATCCTATTTACTATCAAGAGACCCTTCAAACCATGACCCCTAAGGATGAGCAGCAGGAATGGGTCTTTGACACAGTAAAGTCTGTCGCGCCACCCCCCAAGAGGCCAACGATCAAGCAGCACCGAAAGCCCTCATCCATCTGGAATGCCGAAGAGGCGATGAAGAAGCTGGATGTCAAGGATGGTCCTCTTGGAGGAACATCTCCTGCCCCGGGAACTGTCCGAAAGTCAACGGTCCGACGAGCACCGTCTTTAGCTCAAGAAACATCAGTGCGGCCTGGTTCTCCTCGGGGCTCTATCGCCCCTAAGAGACCTCTCCAACCAGATATGTCGTTTGGAAACTCAGGATCGACTATGCGTCTTTTCAGAAGAGTCCCTTCAGATGGTTCAAACGGGAGTCAAGGGAACCGGCCAGTTTCTCCCGACGATGTCTTCTGTGACGAGAACCTTCCCCGTCCTACCACAACTCCTGTCGAACCCTATGGCAAAGAGGCTGTACTGGGGAGACGCTTGTACAACAAAGCTGTGGAGCCTTCTCTAGCCGAGCTGCATGCTCAAACCTCTGCGATGCAAAAGCGAGAGGCACTGGCTAAGTTATCCGATGCTTTCGCGGCTCTGGACGCAGTTGATCCTGAAGGGGCCTATCACCTCATGACGAGCATGATATCGTCAATCTCTCAAGACAATAAGCTCAGCACAAACATCCTTCGACAGCCTGCCCAGAAGATTCCCGGTGACGGCACTCCTCAGGGTACTGTGATTGTCAAGAACACCACCCCTGCGGCCAGCCCAACGAAACTCGTCATGTCTTCCAACAACCCTCATTTGCGCAGCCATCGACGCCGTCATGCTGATACTCCTACCCTGTATGAGAAGAACTTTGACCCTGAGAAGTTAGCCACCGAGAACAAATATCCTGGTCAGGAGGCCAGATCTGGCATGGAGCATTGCAAGCAGTTGCCCGACGTGCTCTACTCACGTTGGGTAGACGGTCTTCGAATTCGTTGGCCCGCGGTTTGATTCTCAGCCAGGGATGAACGATTGAACACAGCGGCATGACCTAGGCGGTGTTGCGCCTTTTATGTTGTACGATTCGTATGCAGTTTCTTGTGCTACTTATTTTGCATTGTTTGCCTTCCGGCTGGAAGATAAAAGCGAGTCTTCGAGGAGCTTATTGGCAGCCGTATTTTCATCAGCATTTGACGACCCCGGTCCGGCATGACGCTCACGATATAACGATATGTCGCGGATGATCTCATTGACCTGGTCTACTCCTTTGGTTTACTGTTTTTCTGCGAGGTGCGTGGGGCGTTGTAAGGACTGTATTTAAGAACATGGATGGTACGGAGGCAACTCTTGTTTTGATCTTTCATTGCATTGCAGCTGTTTCGATATAGGCAGGTAGATGACTAGATGCAGGCACAGCCTAGACTTGTTAATTGAGCACAGTAAGAATCGAACATGATCCGTCCACGATCTGTATCTAATAATCTACATGACCATGACGACCTTTGCTCAATGGATGTATCGTGCACAAGCCAATCCAATATTTATCCAGAAGCGTCGCTGGGCCCAAGAGCTAACTTGATTCTCCAGTTCTTGAACTCATCAGACAAGATATCGCCGTGACCTGTTTCCTCCACCTTGAATAGCTCGATTGTTGGTGATTGAGGCTCGCGTTTTATTCTCCAAACGCCCTCATCGTTGATGTTCTCTGTTAGCCCTTTTGATGAAGCAGATTAGCGATCAATGGCTTTCATAACTGATAGTAGTAGGCTTACACTCTAAGAAAGTAGCAGCAAAGTTGACACACATATCGGCGTTCCATTTGGGATTAGGATCGGCATTGACCATTTCGGGAATACGATGCGTTTCCATTTCCCTTGCCTCAACCAGAACACCATCCTGTGTGCGAAAACCGACCACAATGCGCGGCACACCGAGAAGGAATGATTGAATCCAATACTTCATGAGCTTACGCTTGAAGTTCTCCATGCCGCCCGGGTTGCGAATCTCGGCTGATGTCTTGAGCTCAACCCAGTTGATCGGGCTGCCCTTTTCTTCGGGTTTGGAGTCCCAGACTGTGGAGATGTGAGTTGGGAGAAGAAGGAGAAGTGAAGGAGTTACTCACTGGCGTCAACTTCACCGCCGAGACATAGGACGGATTTTCCGATACCCGTTCGAACGACAGAACAATATTGGGCTTTGTTGTTGACGATTTCGTTCTCTCGATTTTCGATGAAGTCGCGGGACGTTTCTGCCCATGGCGATGGCAGAGTCGACAAGGTTTCAAACTTATATCCTAGATTACGATGTGAGCAATCGTAACGCATATTGGAAACAGAGACACATACCCCAAAATTGCATCACTTCTAATGGTGGTCCTCTTCTTCGTTTATTGTTTCCCTCGTTTGATCTGGAAGCAATCTTGTAGGTGTTGTTCTCCTCGATAAAGCTTTATAAATCAACTTCCGACACAAACATCCCTGGAACTCCTTGGACTTACATGCAATCCTGCGTGGTCGGCTTGTCAGTGGGTTTGCTCTTAGAGACAGGGTATATCATCTTAGACGTACTTGATACAAAGTGGCATTCATCTCGAAGCTATTCGTCGATAAGTCAATGGGGAAAAGAGAGCAGACCGCCTGGTGAGACCTACCCATCCATCTGGTCGAAAGGTGCTGCCATAATCTATGCCTGAAGATTAGCTCTGAAGTCAGACTATCAATGGGCAAAGAAGTTAAACCTTTGTCATCATGCCTCTCCATGTGACGATGTTGGCATCAATCTTCTTGCCTGTTTCTTGCTCGTGTGCAGCGATAGTCTTGAGGAGACTGTCAAGGTGATCATCTCCGGTATCGTCCAACTTCTGAAATGTATCAAAGCCTTTGGAGAGGTCAGCCCCAAGCTGTGGTGTGTAATAGTACTTGAGAGATGAGTCGTCCAGGTGAAACTCATGGTTGTCGTCGTATGAGAAGCAGGCAAACTCCTGTGAAAGTTTTAGTATAAAATCAGAGAGATGGTTATAAAAGGGCTCGGTGTATCATATATGCACCTTTGGTCTTTTGACAGGCTGACTTGCACCAACAAAGCGGCCTATGGGTTGAACTGAAAAGCGCGCCGACATGATTCTCAATAGAGAAGACACCTGTCTCACACAGTGGCAATGGTATGGCGATGTTCAGGTTCGGCTAATACGTGTAGTATTCTTGAATGATATGCGGGCCAAAATTCGTGTGAAGGGAAGTATTTACAGTAACACTCCTCTCTTGATGTATGTGGATGGAAGTCTGAACAAGGTGTGACGCTACTGCTCGGGTGTCCCGATCAAGTTCATGGGATTGGGGGTTTTAGTGGAGGCTGCAGCGACCTGACTGTGCCTTGTTTTAGCGCTTACACAAGCTCCAGGTTCATGAGCCGCAACCCGATCACTAATACAATTCCTTAATGAATACCAATTCAAACTTTGATCTTCCTGTAAGACATCAAGGCTACAAACACGGCAGTTATTATACGAGACTCCCAATAATCACACAGTTACTGGGCACTTCGGTTGAAGTCCTAAGATAAATACCTGCTTGCTTACGCTATGACCAAACACTATGAGTCTAAGGTAAGCTGCGTCGTCTGTGATCGACTCCAGAGTAAATATGAGGAATACCAAACATTAGACGCATTGTTTCCCATAATTGAAGTAGAAAAGCCACATCATCACTCGGACGACGTCTGAAGTGTCTCATTGGGGTTTTATCTACCTTCCTGCTTGACCTGTGGCGCCCGTGCTCAATCAAACATTTGATTATTCGTCAAGTTTGCTGCTCAGGGATAGTAGAATCTTAAGTGAGGAGTCACTTTCTGTGTGCAAAACGGTCACCAGAATTGAATGACTTTTGCCTGCCTATGCAGGGTGCAGAAGATGCCTGCTTGGGCTACCTAACTTAATCGCCTGAAGGGATCCTAAGCCTTAGAGAAGCCTTTACAACCAAAAATTGCGAGAGAGAAGGCACTTACCACCCTCACTTTACACTTTCATCTGTCTTGCCCCATCTTATCTATCATAACTTCATTTTGACTCTGAACTCTCTTCGATTTCTATTTCTTGCCTCAACACAACACCTACACCTCGTGTAACTACACTCTCATCCACTGAGGCGCCCTGGCTTTCACCTGGGTCCCCTGTCACTTCTTTCACTATTCTTGCGCCCCAAGCCCCCAAGGTCCACTAGCTCGCCTCAGGACCCTGATTTCTCACCCTGAACACACTATCCTTGGTCTGACCATCACGTGCATTCTAGCGGCAATTGATCGACGACGTTCCCCAAAGCATTCCCCAAGCTGCTTCTGTTTGGCAGCCTTGCTCACAACCGCGGCGCGCAACCATCGACTTATTCCAAGCGTTGACCGCTGAAGCCGGTCGCCGCAGGTCATCGTCGCTGGATAGATCTTATCGCAGCTTCGTTATTGCGCGGCATCTATTTGCCACGACCGTGTGTTGCACTCCTGTGGCTGTTCGGGTTCGGCTCTCTAGCTATCATCCCACGTACGTTATACCAGCGTACCCATGGTGAGAACGCGCAAAGAAGAGCATCAATCCACAACAAACACACCCAGAACCTCATTAGAGCGCAGATCGAAAAGAAAGAGAAAAGGAAAAGCCCAAGATAGTGAACCTGAACTTGTCCAACAGGCGCCTGCCAGAAAGCGCAGGAAGTTGGGCAAGAAAAAAGAGTGGTGGAACATTCGCCGGGTCATTAATGAAGAGTACTTAGCAAACCCTAACAGTGGTGAGATTAAGCACCGGTGCCTTGTAGAGTGGGAAACTGACTCTGACGGTGAGACGTATGAGAACGAGTGGATTCCGGTTTGACGCCCCGTCAAGTTAATAAGATAAGATCACATACGCTAACATATACCTTAGTACAAGGATCTCAATGTTGAAGCATTAAAAGATTGGGAGAAAGAAAAACAGAAGAGGGAACGTGAAAGGACAAATCGTGAAGCTCAACGTCGTGAGACGAGAAATCGGCGAGGACTTCGAGATCTTACACCTCGTCGGGGTAAATCCGAGACGCCTGTGGTTTGCAACAGACAACAACAGCCAAAACTTGATGCATCGACTCATGACATATCTCGATTCAATTCTCACGAGCAAGACGTGCAGCCAAGTCGCAGTTCCAGGATTGAACCTGGAGGTACCTTTTCAGAAGAGCCTGTGCCTTCATTCATCTCTGCTTCATCTGTGGACGCTGAATCTGTGAGCTTCGACGATTTCTCGAGGGCACCTACTCAAGGAGTTGCTGTTGTGTTAAGTAAGCCCGACAACTTCGACCCATCTGAGTATCAGAGTGTCGCCACTCAAAACAGCTCTCAAAGGATCACGGAACTTGAGGATGATGACCAGCGAGTTACTTTTGCATCGCAACTAAGCCAAGACACCATCCCAGATTCTCAAGATCTATCCGGACATTGGGACTATCAAAATTGCGAAAGCGAACCTGCTGCTAGACCTGATCGTGCTCCAAGCAGTCCTAAAATACCCGAAGATCCATCATCATTGGCCGAGGACAATTCTGGAAGTAACCGTCAAGTTGGAGAGGTTGTATGCCAGAAAGAGGTACACAATCGCGACTTCAGCGCCAGGTACCCAGAAAGTGAGGCTTTTCAGCCTGCCAACGCCCCTGTGGATCTGAAGGCAGAGTATTCTGATTCCGAGAATCTTGAAGACAACCAGTTACCCACTGATTTTGGAGGGTACACCGGCGCCGCTAATCATTCAGACGACCAGACCGAGGACATTCACAGACTCAGAGGGACCCACGATCCAGAAGGTGACAATACTGAGAACGGAACCACTACGAACGACCAGAGATTAGAGGGAGATAATCTTAGCTCGAGCGGGGGTATTCCAGATACCTTATCGCCGGAAAACGAGAGTTTTGAAACCGCAAACTCTCAGGCTAGCCAGTCCTTGAACAGCCGAGACTTGCCTGTCAATCAGGACCCATACGGCCAAGATAGCGTCTCGGTTAATCAAGGTTCTGGGGACGGGCAGCAAGTGGTACAAGATCACGTCTTTGATTCTCCAAGTCGCCTTCCATTTGAAGAGGAGACTCTAGGTAATAAGCATTCGGGTGTGGAGCGAAGTGCACCAAGTCATCATCACTCCCCAGGGGATCAAGACGAAATAATTGGACTACAATTCGAAAAGGGCGACATTGACCCCCAGCGCCCTGACAAATCAACTGGCGTGAGTGGCGTGAAAGATCTCTCACAGTCACAGGAACTATCCTCATCAAGCAAGGAGATTGATGTCATCGTTCCAGATTCCCAGGACCACTCGAGCCTATCCACCGACCTAAACATTATTACGGACAGAACTTCAACGTTTGGATCAAAGACCCAGCTTACCCCTCTTGCTTCACAGGTTGAAGTTGTTCCGGATTCGGCTGCAACCGGCTCAGACATCATACCGTCTCGTCAACCAGACCACTTTCGCCCTGCAATATCTGAGAAAGGGATCCTTCTTGATAGTTCCCTACCCAGTGACCAAAGCGCCCCTCACGTCGTAGGGGAGACATCTGCATCTCTACGAAGTTCTCCCGGTTCACATAGGACACAGAAACCTCAAGTATATAATTCCCAACCCCAAGGGCTGTACGACTCCTTAGACATATCGAGCTATCTCTCTTCTGCGGCTGGGATTATCAACAAGACTGCCCAATCTATTTCTGGCGCGGCTGCTCACCCAAGAGCCTCGAGCGAAACTCAGGCGAACCAGGAGGAAAGTCTTGAAGCGTTGCAGGCGGCTCAGGCGGCTTCGCAGCTTTCTAGATCTCAACCCGAGGAAAACAGTGTTTCCGGTCAAAGAACAGGCTCCAGTCAGAGATCGCCTTCTCCCACGAGTATTGCAAAGACCGATAGCGTACTCAGCAAATCTAAGACCGGCAGCGACTCTAAAGAACCTGAAAAGCCTCGATTAGATTCAAAAAACCAGAAAATGGAGCGCTCGGGTTCTCAACCACGGGATTCAGCTGCCGATGAGCTGAAAAGCTACATCGATTTCGGCAGGGACTCGGCACTGACACATGTTGGTGATTCTCTCGAAGAGAACCATGACGGGACGCCTTATGAAGCAATCACCAATGAAGACCCGGTTCCTGGTGCCAGTACAGGCAGTCTTGAAGCTGTACTTCAGTCTCAGCCAGTCTACTCTATGGATCCCTGGAAACCAGAAGCTCTAGGGACCAACCCCGACACCCCTGTGTCATCAATAGCGCCGGCAGCCATTATGGTGGACCCTTCCACCACTGCAGTTGCCAGGATTCGGGAAGAGCTCAGTAGAAGATTTGCTGAATCAGACGTATCCTTCACCCGTTCTATTGTTAGCCAAGATGAGGAAGATAGCATGCTCCCTGCAACGATTTCTCCCACAGTCATCAGTATACCGAATGAACCAGTTGAGCCAACCCACACCTTGAATTTTCCCAACCAAGATTCAGTGCCCGCTGAAGTTGAAAGTTCAGGGCACTCTATTACCATGGGCCAAGTTTCTGTTGAACAAGATTCTGATGTATCGTCAGAATCTTCAGGGCAGGACGACTTTTACGTACAAAAGTTCGTCACTCTCCCAATGCAAGCGAGCAGGCGTTCTTACTATGGAGAGATAATAGAGAGCCACAAAGCCGAAATTCAGGCCTTTAGCCGCTGCTTCACCGGCGAGACTCCCGAAGAGCCCAGTGAAGAACTTATTGAAAAGATTGACAGTCTTTTCGACAGGCTCTTCGAGATTTGCGACTATCCCCAGGATGTCATTGGCAGTGTTCTCGAGACGCTACCCAGCTCCGAGCTCGCCAAATACTGTTGTGATGCCAATCCCAAGTTCAGTTTCTTATTTGAGCTCATGGCTGCACTAGACGGGAAAGAAAAGGGAATTCTGATTGTGGTCCGTAACCAGGAACTGATGCGACTACTTTTTAAACTTGCTGAAGCAGCAAAGGTTGAATGCTCGGCAGAAAGCATTAACCAGCATACCAAATTTGTTTCGTTTGCAAGAATCAGTCTTGCTTTGGCCACGGAAGAGTTCGACCCTTTCAGCTTCGACGTCATTATTGGCTATGACTTTCATTATCTGAGTTCGTCGATCGCCACGCAGTTATGCGACAATACTGTTCGGAAGTCGCCGCTAGTGCTATTACTTGTGACAACATATTCGATTGAGCATGTTAGACTTCGTTTGTTGGATGGCGCAACGGCACTCGAGGTTAAGAACGCAGTTCTCGCATCTACTGTAAGCGCAGGACGCTATCTCGAAGAACCAGAACGAGGCTATTGTGAACCTCACGAGGTCGCAGAGATATTTGCAAATTATCTCAACGGAATTACTGACACATTGAATTGGGAACCTCAGGGTATCCCGGATGATGTTCTTGACATCTTCGAGAATCCGGGGACACAGACCCAGCTACCTTTTACAGGAGACGCCTTATATGGGAATGATTTGAAGCGGAAGCATGTAAGTATCGACTTTATATCTTGAAGCTCATATTGCTGATCACTCTCAGGTTAATGACGAAGACGATGGTGACGCTAAACGAATGCGCACTCTTCCACTTCGCGATCTGCCGATCGATACTAATAATCCCCCTATGCCCATTGCAGTCCGCCGGATGCTCGAAAGTGCTTCCCCTCGAGGCGGGACCAGGGAAAGAAAAGCAATGATTTCAGTGCCTCTGGTAACTCTGGAGTCAATCAGGGAGCAGGTAAGGACCATGGAAATGAGTGGTGTGACAGCATCTAAATTGCTCCAGATCGACGAATACAAGCGACAAACTTCACAGGCAGGCGAAGTTGAAGCAGAACTCAAAAGCCACATCAGCAGACTTGACAGAGAATTGAAGGACCATCGAAAGACCTTGAATAAGATTGAGTCTTCTAATCGTGCTGCTCTTCAAGATCGAACCGTGGCTGAAAAGGAGAGGCTGCGAATTGAGGGTCTTGCGGCAGCCGCCGCAAAGGTCGCTCAAAAGGAGAAAGAGAAGCAACAACAGCGAATTGATGAACTCGAATCAACCATTGCGCGTCTCAACGAAAACCCTGAATCAGCCAAGAGGGAAGAGGCGTTAACCGAAGTCAAAGGGCAACTGCAGCTCTCGGAAAGTAGGCGGAAGAGCGCCTTGAGCGACGTGGATTTCATGAAGAGTCGGTACCAGGATGTCGACTCCCAAGCTTTGAGATTGACAAATGAGAACAAATCATTGAAGATCCAAAATGAAGAGTTGACACAAAAGGCATCAGAGAATTTGCGTGCCATTCACACGCAGAATCTTGCCATAGAACGGCAAGGGCTTTTGCAGCAAATCGCAAATCTACAAGCCCAAGTCCAGCAACGAGATGCGGAGCTATATAACGCCAACCAGAGGTTGGCCAGTGTCTCGAATGGCAGAAACACACGTGGAGGTAGTATGCCTCGCAGCCCTCGCGTGCCAAGTGGAATGAGCCCACGACCCCGGGCAGCATTCTCTGCTAGTCGAGGGACGAGCCCTATCGGCCCTGGTCAACAATTCGTGGGACAACAGGCAGGAAATGGAAGATGGAATCACTTACAATAAGAGCTACGGACGGCAGATGTATGGGGGCATGGTGATACCAATCCTTTATATGTTAGGGCTATCATGGTATTTGGCGTATGGGACCGGCAGTTGGGAATGTAGAACCTCTCTACACCAGTATACAATGAACATCTATTTGAGATGTGTAGGAATTTGACCTGATGCTTCTCGTGAATGCCGCGGACAATGCTGACTTACGGAAATTTGTCAACGCAGTTGATCCTGTACATCAAGCCTTCTTTGACGTAAATCCCTAGGTAGTATAGCTTCAGCCAAGGTGGAAGATAAGTCACTCAAGTGGATGAACAGTGAACTTCAGATATACAAAAAACTCTCAACATTGGAGGAGATTAGTAAAGAGCAAGCGTCGCCAAGTCGCACCTAAGGCTATAACACAATCGATTTGGGGCTGCCACAACCAAACTCCCCCGTCTACCTCTTGGGTCTGAAATTCCCTTCCGTCTCGGCCAACATCCAGTATACACGGGGCTCAGAACACTGAGACCAGGGGACAATCTACTTTTCCTCAGGGTACAGCTCCTCCTTGAGCAACACACCAAGCTCTTCTCGAAGGGGCTTGAGTTCCTCAAGGTACTGCTCGTACTGGCCCTTGTTCTCAACCTTGGTCTTGATACCTAAGGAGCAACAGTTAGCAATGTGGTCATGTTGGTGGATTTGCTTGCGAGTCGTCGGTGGTATTCATCAAGCAAGGTCCGTATCGAGGTTGGGTCGCTGTGCTGATAGAATTCAAGAAAGGCAATTTAGACGCTGCCGATCCATCGGTCGGGTGGACGGCAATGCAAGGTGGAATTGATTGACAAAATTTCGTACCTTCGAAGATGCGGACGGCAGTACCGAAGTCGTTGACCCTTCGGGCGGCCTTAAGGGCGGCAGCGATCACCGAGGGGGCAGGGACGAGATCGTAAGCGAAGGCGTTGTTGAGGTTGCGCTGTGGTTTGGTGATAAGCCAAAGTCATACGACATTTTCGGGAGCCAGCCGGAGAGCAGCGAGCTCTACCCCGTGGGGCAGACATACCTGAAGCTCGAAAACGTCCTGAACACCATCAAACTCCTTCTCGAACCTGCGGAAAGTGGTAGTTTAGCAATTGAGTGCCGCAAGAAACCTGTGCGGCTGCATTGGAAAGTATTCGGGGGAAATCGCGTGGGGACAGAGCTCTAGGCGGGCTTTGCGGCATCTTTTTCCCACAGCCGCAAGACAACCACGCAAAGACCCCAACTCTCCCAACCAATTTGCGACAACTTTCCACAGTCCAGAAAATCGATGTTCCAAGTAGACGGCAGGCCATTGGGTATTGGGAGTGGTCCTACCTGGCAGAGAACTCCTCAAAGGTCTCCTCGGCGTGCTCGCTTCGTCGGGGAATCGAGGTGGTGAAGTGGGCAACGGCCGAGCGGGCAACCAGGGGCTGGACAGCAGGTCGAATGGGAGCAGCGCGAACGCTACGGGCGACACGGATGAAGGCGGACATGTTGGAGAGGAGAGGCGTCTATTGTCAGAGACTGGTGATGTCTGTTGTCGGAGACAAATCGTGTATTGTTAGAGGTAGTGGGCTGGCTTTTTCCGGCTCGGGTGATGACTGCAGAGTTGTTTGGGCGAGAGGATGGGCTGAGGATTGATGACTAAGGCGAAGCTAGACCTGATTGCGTAGTTGTGGGCTATAGTGCGAATTGTGATGCAGGCTCACAGTAGGGTCGAAGTTGCTATGAAAAGGACAGTGTTTGTACTGTACTTCAACGAGCTTACTTCCAGTTAGCTTCCATTCGTCATTGCCGCAGGCACCTGGCACGGTAGTCCAATTGATCATGGCAGATGAATAAAGTAGAAAGTGACGATAGCTTCGTGCCACAAAGGTTGGGCTATAGAACTAAATGTTCTCGGGCGAGAGCCTTCAAATATAACTCAACCTTGGCTTAATCCAGTCAACTGGAACGTCCTGCACTCTATCGGCAAGGCTGCTTTCGGTGACAGGGAATTGGAACGTGGAACCACCAATCGTTGGACTGACATTGAAATTATTACGGCGCCCACCATTTGATTGACAGCTGCGAAGCAGCCACACCTTAAGATGCCTAGAAGCACCGCCACGTAGCAGCCACAAGTGACACAGGCGACAGGCTTCTGAGTTGAGATGAAGTTGATGTGAATTGAGCAATCAGTTAAGCGAAACCTTGATCAAAATTCTTTAGGTTTTTAGTTTAGTTCAGAGGAACCGTGCTGAGATCCGTTGAAAGGTTATTGATCGATCCTGACATGGGGAATCGCCGATATTTATATGGAACCTTGGTTCGAAATTGCATTGACGAAGGATTTACAGGAAATCAACTATATCTTGCTTCAGGTACCTGAAGTAACCATTGCGAGGATCAAGTTGCTCAATGTATCCAACCTTGTATTTTCGAGTGGTCGTTGTTTTCCGGTCTCAATATGAGCGAATCAACCTTGCAAATGCCATCTGACAACCTGACATTGTGTCGTCGTGATACGATGTACGGATATTAATGGCGATTGTCTAACGGGCTTTTATCCCGGAGTTTGACATAACCAATGAGTTTCAATCGGGCTACACCATTCGGTCATCACCGCAGTCTTGGCATTCAGTAAGCCTCGGGACACGATCTCACAGGCACAGGCACGACAGAGTCAGACAAGTGTAATAAGCATCGGTTGGGCACAAGCCTCAGGGGACATCTTTAGCATATTGTGTCGTTATGGCATTTCATAAATCACGTGTAGTCTCTAAGCATCTTCGTTTCATTGGTGCATCCGGAGAACCCGGCATATTCACATGTAATTGCAGTGTGGAGTGAAGCCTCATCTCGGGCATGCATGCTCGTGTGGTGCTTCCTCCTGTGAGCGCGTGTCATGTTTTCCACAATGAAGTAGAAGACAGTAGCCAAAAGCGCACGAGCCTGGCCAATTCTTGGTACCTGGGGCGGGCCTGTTGATGGAATAAGATATACGCATGGCAATTGGGTAAATTCTTGAGATGCCCCCTACAAAGATGTACTAGTGGCACCTCTATGGAAGGAAAGTGCGGTGCCAGGTGCCACTTTCACTTTACTGCTACACCGTCCGCGGCAGCCGGAGATCCAATCTGCCCGGTAAAAGTGCGATTGAGGGAAGGTAGCGGTGCGGATTGAAATTTCCCCTTTTTGATGCGCCGTCCTCTTTTGGCTCTCCCTCAATTAAAACTCTACTCTCCTTCTCCCCTTTTATCTCCTTTTTAATTCTACGCATTCCCACAATCGCCGTGTACCTGGCTTCTTCTTTAAACCATTTCATCTCTCCGGAGAACCTTCTTCTTCTTGTCATTCCTTGTCAGTCTTTACTTATTCGTCTTTCACGTGTCCTACCCGCGCCATTGGCTTTGTCGCGTCTTCGAAAAAAAGCCACGTCGAATACGTAACTCGGCTACTCCAAATCCCCTACTTAATAAACGGTCCTGCGGTCAACAATTGTGTCGGTATCAACGTACAATTCGCCCATCATGTCTGCGTCTCCCGCTACTTTCTACGAGCAGCTTCCGCTGCCAACCATCGACCGGCCTTTTGGCGTTCACCTGTGGCCCATCTTTGACAAGGCATTCACTGCTGTTGTTGGCTACTCCGCCAATGACTTCAAGTTTGTGCCTTTCGAGACCCCCATGTCCACTCTCAAGTCGACATCGATCTTCATTGTTATCTACTACGCCATCATCTTCGGTGGTCGCGAATGGATGCGCAACCGTGAGCCCTTCAAGCTCAAGGGTCTCTTCCTCATTCACAATCTCTACTTGACTCTGATCAGCGGTACTCTCCTGGCTCTCTTCGTTGAGCAGCTTCTTCCCACCGTTGTCCGTGGCGGTATCTTCCATGCTATCTGCGATGCCGAGGGTGGATGGACTCAGCCCCTTGTCGTCCTGTACTACGTAAGTTTCCAGCAAATTTTGGCATGCACTCCCAACTGACAATTGTAACAGCTCAACTACCTCACCAAGTACCTCGAGCTCCTTGACACCGTCTTCCTGTTCCTCAAGAAGAAGCCTCTGAGTATGTAGTTGTTCCCAATACAACCTTGACAAGCTAACACTTACCAGCCTTCCTCCACTGCTATCACCATGGCGCCACCGCCTTCCTCTGCTACACTCAGCTCATCGGTTCCACCTCCGTCTCTTGGGTTCCCATCGTCTTGAACCTTCTCGTTCACGTCGTTATGTACTGGTACTACTTCCAGAGCGCTCGTGGTGTCCGTGTTTGGTGGAAGGAGTGGGTCACCCGCCTCCAGATCATTCAGTTCGTCATTGATCTCGGTTTCATCTACTTCGCCTCTTATACCTACTTCACCTCGACCTACTTCCCCTGGATGCCCAACGCTGGAAAGTGCTCTGGCGAGGAGTTTGCTGCTTTCTCCGGTATCATTACCATCAGCTCTTACCTCGTTCTGTTCATCTCCTTCTACTTCGCCACCTACAAGAAGCAGGGCAAGGCTCCTACCGGCCGACAGAGCCTCCGACGCATGTCTCAGGCTCCTCTCCCCGACCCTCATCTGGTCCAGACTACTCCTGTCAAGAAGTCCAACGGTGCCACCACCACTGGCTCCAAGACCAACGGCTCCGTTCGATCCCGCAAGGCCTAAATGTCTGGCTGAGACTATCGACTTGGCACAGATGTATTCGAATGAGTACATCGGCCTATATTGATATATTCTCTCCTTTAACGATTGCATAATGCTACGCGAGCATTTAAGCCATTCTCGCGTTGGAGTTCGATCTGGATTGATCTCAGCGGCTTCAATACGTATATAAAACACTTTGGAGATTTGCTTTTTTCCGAAAAATGGGCGGCTCGGTTGATTTCAAAGCTGAGATCTGCTATGAATAATAGTCTTTATGTGGGCAGCGATAATGATGGAGGGTGTTGACGATGCTTCTCACGGTTTGAGTTTACAGGGCGAACACGGGGCATTTTGAAAGGACGGGCATGGTTATTGGGACACAAGTCTCGGCCGACTTGGAGCGGCCCCAGGCTACGACGATCTATCTAGAACCCTTGTAATCAATTTCTCAGCTATGTATGATAGAATTATTAATTCTCTCAGTTGTTGAGTCTGAGAGATGAATGAGCCAATTCATGGATCACTCGCTTCATTGTTCTTGTATCACTTGTAGAACCTTACGCTGATGTGTGATTCGTGATTCATGCTATCAGATGAAGCAGGTACTCAATACGCGTCTTAACAAGTCATTGGTGGCTTGTCATACATTCCATCTGGAAGGGTCAAGAGGCAGGCTACTAGTTTAAACTAGGTCACAAACGTACTTCAAAGGTACATAAGACATCGACACATCGACGATAAATAAGCTTAATGTTTAGTTTGTTACCTTTCAGATATGCTTTAGTGTCGTTCTCCCTTTTGACCTTATCGTAACTCGAACCATTGTCCTTGAGGTCGTTGGCTTGGAGTTGTGTTCTTGGTGTCCATATCCACTACATATGCTGGCCCTACGAATGTATAGCAACCCGTTGCATCTGGCCTCAAGACTACTGGCTCTTTGTATCCCCAGAGAATGCAAAGCCTATCTCCTTCAAGAACGTCAAAATCAACCGCGCCCAAGTAGCCCCGATTTGTCTCGAAGAATCTGTAGTTGTAGAGTACTGGCATGATTCTTGACACGGCTTCTCTTCGTGTTTCGAGACCCCATGAGCTGAGTTCTTCGACGACGTCAAGTTTGACTTTCAAGCGAGCCAAATCTGATGGAGGAAAGGCCATTTTGAGAATATCATAATCACAATTTGAGCTGCAGGTTTTTGTGACAGTTTGGGACTCGGACATATTGAAATAGGTGATCAGCATGGCAAGATTCATAGCATTGTCGACAAGGTCCTGAGAGACATATTTGGATGTGTCCATGGATAACAGCCTGATAACAGCCTGGGCAGCCGAGATCCCTGTAGCATACTGTGAATTGCTCGTGGCGAAAGAGTTAGCGAAAGACATGAACGATGCCAAGATCTCTGGATCAGAATCGTGACGGTGGTTTGTGGACAAAGTGACAGGTCCCATGTCTCTACCCCAACTGAACAGACTTTGTGTTTCTTCGACAACATAAGGGTAGTTTGAATGATGAGTGGGAGATGAAGTCACGACACCTTCGTCAGCTGAGCGAAATTTGCTGGCACTATAACACCAGGGTGAAGAAGCTTCACTCTTCTTTCTGTAGTTGGGAACCCAGCTTGGCAAATCTGAGCAGCCATATTTCCCAGTGCCTGCGAGGGAAAAAAAAATGCAAGAGGACTGTGGACATGCGTAGTTTGTTGTGTGCGTGCAGCTTTCAGCCAGCCAGCAATATACTTGGTATAGACCCGTGAGGTCGTGTTCTCGGGGCTGTAGTCAGGAGTTATCGGTATGCCAGAAACTCCAAGAAGGCCATAGATGTAATCTCGATCATCGGTGGCCTGCAAATTAGCTGCAAAAGTTGACACAGCCCACCATTTAAAGCCATCTAGGTCCGGTATCTTGGTGCGTGCTTGCGCAAGGAATAACCACGAGAGCTTCCCCCATGACATCGGGTTGCTGAGAAGGTTCCATGCTGTATCTGGTAGAAAATCGGGCTTCTTGTCTTTGGCAACGGAAATGATACTTTGGGGAGTATCGCGGAGCATAGACCAAGAAAGATTGGCTTCTCCTGGACTGATGAAAACAAGTTCATTTGTTAGAACTACTTCTTGAAATATCCAAACTCGTTGCCAGTATTGATGTTGTAAGAAGTCGGTTACAGCAGACCAAGGATCATTCAAGTGGTTGTTTGGTAACTCAGGTGCTCTGTCGATACAAAGCATGGGATGGCGCCGCAACCACTCGAGGTCGAATTTTGTCTTATAAGGGGCATTTTCCTCAGGCATGTTCTCATATATCCCGTTCGTAAGTGTTTTGATAGTTTCGAAAGCAAGAGAATAATCTTTGGGTCCAACCCAGGCAAAGTGATATGGGCGCGTTGGAAGATACGACGCATGAGTTGAACTTGTTGGGATCTTTCATCAAGATCGTTCTGGTTGATACAAATCGCATCAGCCCAAAGATATCTGACATCTGACTGTGAATCGAAAAGGGTCATTGCTCAAGGTGCAGAGAAAGGCCGAAGCTAAGTTGTCCGGGATTTTGACAGTGTTTCCTTTGATAGTGACCTGGCCATATTTCTCGGGATCCCCCAGAGATAGGACAGTGCTGCATACTTGGGTTCATCGTCGAGAGATACAGTGACAAGTTCGAATTCGGAGGAGGGGTTTGACGGTATTTTGAGGAGTCTAATCTCTGACGTCCTGGGGTTGAGAGGTTTGTATAAGCGTGAAGATGCTCGGCTTATGGATTGTGAGAATAATCGACGAGGCAGGGAGCGGGGGGGAAGTTGTAAAAAGCGGTGCATGATTGAGAAATCGAGCAGTTAATTGATCTCATGGTCGAATTACTATGTATAAGCATACTGCGAGAGACTTTGGATGAGATTATAACCTTCAAGTGATTGAATACCTTGCCCATGACTACCTCGACACAGCCCCCGAGCGGAGGAAGCCAAAGATGCCTGGAAGATACTGATATTGGGCAGAAAATACATATTCTCACTTTGAGTGGTCTGTATCAAAACTACGAATGATAAAAAAATGTTGCGAATAAGCTAATTGACTGTGAACGTATCCATTCAATCAAGTAGAGTTGTGTCAGTCAATAGCCAAGACCTGCCAGCATCTTCAGTTCTTCAACGTACCACCAGCAGAGGAAACGCGACCAATTGACGTCATGATCAGGGTCCAAATGAAGCAAATTCAAAGCAAAAGCAAACACGAACAAACAACGATCCAATTTAATTCATGACTACCGACGAAATGCGTTGGTTTGCCAAGTTAAAGACATGGGTTGTGAGCCTATGTTTGCTATAAAACGGAACCATTGGCTGCATATGCGAGAAATCCTACAGCTATCACAGAGAAAAGAGACACGCAAGGCAACACAATACAACGCAGTCAGGCATTTAATTCGGACTGAAGGATCCTGTCCTCATTTAGTTTCTCACCTAGAAACAGAGGCGCTTACGCCCGTGGCACTTGTAGATCCAACCCCCTTTTCCGCTGACTGCATATCATAGCAAAAGGGGGCAAAGTTTAAGCCATCCAATGCGTTGCAATGTAATGTTTGCCGGCCTGTGATACGCAGGACAAGTTTGATATTGACGAGGTCTCTTTATTCCATTCCTGGCAGCCAAGACTTTTTTCTGTTTCCTGTTTCTGTTTCTGTCCCTCTCTCTGCCCCCTGCTGATTGATGATCTGCCAGTGAGCAAGGAGGTGCTGCTGATCAGCTACAGCATCAAAGCGCAGAGACAACGCGCTTAGAGGCAAACGCCACTCAGGTGTCAGCCTCTGAAAGTGCAGAGGAATGCGGGCTGGCGGGGTAAGGCTGCAGGCCGTTTGGATACAGCGTTTATCCCCTGAAACATCAGCCTTGAAGAAAGATGCATAATAATAATATTTAATTCTTGCCCTTTAGGTTGGGTAGGTAGCTTAAGCTATCGCTTGGCCTTTGTTCTTTCCCATTTTGAATACCGGATATACATACAGTCTCATTCATTGGCACGTGCTTCCATCCACATCCGAAAAGGCAGGTACCCTGGTGGTACCCCCTGCAATTATTCAGTTCCCCAGAATTCAATTGGAGTTGGGGTTCGATCTTAATAAGGTCCCCTCGTTCACTTTCTCCTCTTCCTCTTACCTCTCGCTGGTCTCCATACAGTTCAGCCTCTCAAAAGAGTCTGAACCTCTCTTGTTCTTCGATTTCTGTTGCGTATTCCTCCTTATTCCTTTCATTCTTTCTCTTCTATATCACCACTTTTCTCTCTTTGTTTTTGGTGAGCTCTTTAAATCTTCCCTGTCTCTATCCACTCGCGATCTGTCCCTACAGCCAGACAACCGCACGCCAAGATGCGAAACCCCTTCCGACGTCGGAACAAGAAGGACAAGGCCGGTAGTGGCGGCCAGAGCTCAGACTTTATTGTTCCCATAGAGTTCCGTCCTCCTGGTGCTGGACGCCCACCGTTATATCCTCCAACTCGACACTCAGCATATCTGCTTGCTCATCTGCCACCAAAGGTCCTCGAGCGTATCTTTACTTTTGTTTGCCCACACGCCCTTGACGAGACTTATGATACTTGTGAGGGTAGCGCAAGCACGAGTGACAGCGTGTGCATGCTATGCGACCTTCGTGATTTAGCTCACTGTGTTCAAGTTTGTCGCGCATGGCGGCCCAGCGCGGTCAAGATCTTGTAAGTCGTGTCATGGTGGTTCGATGATGTTCAACAGCTAACCATTTTCAAGATACCACAGCGTTCGTATCGATCCAGTCCATTACTGCCGTTTAGAAGAATGGCTTGCCGAAAAACGTAAAAAGACCTCCCGCTTCGATCGCAATGGTGTCCCTGAGGATCCTGCCCAAGCTCGTCTCCGTCTCCTCCGACGTACTGTCCGTGATGATCCTACACGTGTTGGAAAGTCTGTACAATATTTGAAGCTTCCATACATGTTGCGCGAATCCTCCCAAGTTGAGCTTGCCCAGACCATCGCTGTTCTTCCAAACCTACGATATGTCGACTTGCCCGAGGGGATGTTTTGCGATGACCCTCATTACGCGACCCTCCGCCTCGAAGTCCAAGCTCGATGTCCTAATCTTCGAAAGATGACCTATACGGGTGGTTCTGAGCGAAGTCTGGCCATGCTCGCCTCGGGTCAAGTCTGGCCGAATATTGAGGTGCTAGAATTGAATGACCTCGCAATTGATGCCATGACACTTCGGGCTGTTCTTGGTAGTCTCACCAACTTACAAGCACTCAAGGTATCAAACACGCCAGGTCTTTCAGATGAGGTCCTGTCTTCATCGGATGGGCTTCCTACGCTACCACCTATGAAGGAATTAGTGCTCAAGGATACACCGGGAGTGACATTGAAGGGCCTTATCGAGTATCTTGCATGGCAAGAGACACAGCAAGCTTTGACAGTCCTGACACTTAAGGATACGGGTGTCCATCCAGCAAGCTTGCAAGAAATCTTCACAATGGCTTCGTCTCTCAAGACATTTGCCATTCAGACCAATGTTTCTGAACAATTCCCAACCTCGGCAAATTCACGCCCACTGGCATCAAGAACGCTCGAAACGCTGCGGTTTGAAGTTTCTTCATCTTCAGCGGGTGCCTTCTCCAGTGTGACGATGGGCTATTACTCATATCTTGCGAGCTCCATCCTTGGCGGCGGGTTCCCCAGACTAAGGCGACTCTACGTTCATGATGAAAGCTTCCCTGAACAATTACAGGGACTTCCACCTCCCAATGCTGCATTCGCTGGAGGGCATGTACGCTCTGGCTCTAATTCATCTACCAAATCCACTCCAGGATTTGCCTTCCCATCGGCAAACCTATCACCGAAGTCGGCAAATCTTCCTGTGCCTAGGCGGCCCATGTCGAATATCCAACCACCCAGCAAACGCTTCAGCTCTAATAATCCATTCGCTCCTCGCAACCCTTCGTCGGCAGCTCCCACGCATACACTCGAAGTTTTTACCAAGAGCGACGAGTTTGGAAAATGGAACTTTGTGTCAGTTGATCCGATGATCAGATCTTCTGCGGCACCGTCTCGCCGGCCGGTTAGCAGCTACGGGCTGGCGGCCGATGTCACGGGGTCTGGGTGGGATCGAGGAGATGCTCGACGTAGTGTCATGGTTGGTAATGGTGCTGGCGTGTTTTTGGCCGTTCCTGGCCAAGGGGGTGACGATGGTGCGTTCAATGGGAGCTCTGATCCATGGCGACCTCAGAGCAGTGGAGGATCTCCTCGACGCAGTCGAGAACTGTGGTAATGGTGTGCCTTTTAATAGGTTACGGTTAATCCCTGTAGGCCCTAGAGGTCTATCTCGTGAGCTTTTCACTAATAATGTTTCCTTTGTCAACGGGGCTCTTGACAGAGAATTGAAGTGATGGATGATGGGGCATTATGAGGTTATGGCGGATGAAGGGAAGTTGAGATTGATTTATTCTTGGGATCGGTTGTTATGCAAAATACCCTAGCAGTTGTAAAGGAGAAGTTGCTTGTAATCGCTGGTAGATTGAGGCAGCCCTAGGTTGACTGAAAGATCTATGTTTCTGTAGATCTAGAAGAATAGACTTTGGCAAAGAGTGTGTGTTTGACATTCCAGTGATATTCGCTGTGTTTCAGCTTCGGGCTAGGGATTCAGTGATCGGCGGTAATTCATTCCAGAATCAAAGTTTAATGCCTTCAATATCATATCTGTATCTGGATTCAGAATATTTTCAGAAATATTACATCGCCACGTCCCTTCTAAATGGGACTTTACATCATTCCACGTTGTACATAGAAGTAAACTCGGGAGTTGGAGAATACTGTGCAAAGTACTCACCTTTTGCGGTTGCATCACTTACAGCGCATACTATGAAGATCCAAGGATAGAAGCAAGATTTTGTGACGCTTTAGTCGATTTACTTGCTACCGGGTACGTCAATCGTTCTTCAATACTCAAGTTTCATAAACTGCACGCAGATTTATGACGTTATTATGCATGGTGATGTGTGCTCAAGCATCCCTGTCAGGCTGGCACCTGGGCGGTCCAGGGACTCACTGACACTCGGGTTAAAGTAGACACGCCATTTGCAGAGCACTTGACTACTGTCTAGTTGAGGTGTACATAAATTTCTCCCAAGCCAGGTCAAGATGGTTGTCTTTTTTAGATACTGTATCAAGGTGTAGGTGTTGTCGAAGGACTCTTCGCCATTGTTGCCCAAGACTCACTCGACAGTGTCGTCGCATATGGAGCAGGTTTTGAGTACTCGTACCCTGTAGCATCGCAACTTGATGTCATCTCCTGAAACTCGGATGCATCTTCATTGTTGTAACTTATACCTGCCTGCAACTGTATCTTCAATGGCCCGAGCATACAGTCCTCGCACTCGAGTGGCTTATCCGATTCACGATGGATTCGCCATTCTGCGAATTGAAGATCACACAATTTCCCAGTAACTCTACTGATTCTTAGTGATTGCGCATAGAATCACTAAGTACCTAGGATGGTTTACCTGTCTCGGTAGCAATACACATTGAACAAAAGGAGTAGTAAATCGACCATATATGTTGCTAAGTAGTATGTTGGCTGTAGTGCACATCCTTGCGTTGGAGGGGTTTACTTACGTGGGAATATTTTGTCCTCATAAAGGAATGCCACAGCATCCATTTCGGTGTTGCATGCGGACTCGATCTTTGGCCGAAGCTCCAACAAGCTCTTGTAGCAAATTTCATGACAAATCTCGGCCAACTCTTCATTTACAAGTGTTTCAAATATCAGATCACTGCAGGAAGAATAAGCAATGAGGTTGCATTTGTGAGAGTTGTGACTTACGGATTAGGGCTGTGGTAAAACAGTCCGGGCGAGCATTCTGTGACGTTTGTGTTCAACGTGCGCAGGCAGCTGTCACTTAAGGTCATAGTCTCGTACGGATATCTGAAACCTAACTGTTGGCCAGATGTGATCGGAAATAAATACGCCGCTGCTGCAGCTAGCCCGAAGGCAAAGAGATGCCTCATCGCGTTTGGGTGATGTTGCTCGTTGGTGGTGGTAGAAACCGCAGAACGTGTCAAAACGACTGTCCGTTCATAATTATCACACAAAATTTGTCTATTGTTCACTTGTGGCCACGTTGAGAAATGATAAAAACGAGTCTTTCATAAAGTCTGTTAATATGGTGGCTTTTCTAGACCTCAAGAATAGTTCCCAGTCCAATCAACACACCAGCTTATCAGTGAAACTTCGTAATGGATACGTTAGTCATGGTATATGTAGCTTGCTATATAATATCGAGTGGAAACTTGTATCAAGATACCTATATATTTGTCTTATTTCTGTAGTGCGATTACCAAATTGATTCTTTATTTGAAATGGAGGCTGGCTTGGTATATCTCGCTCAGCAGTTATAACCAAGAGTGTCCCCAGAGGATGTTGTGTTCCTAAGAGACAAGGAGGAATCCTCAAGAGGCAATGTGTTCCCAAGAGATAGGGTGTTCTTACGCGTGAAATAGAAGCTAGTTAAATAAGATTTTGCTCTGTTATTGGTGTTGTCGCTGAAGTTTTCAGGTTAAATTTCATTGACTTTCACAGAAACCTGTGTTGCTTGTACCGGGTTTCCCTTTCTTTCCTCATTTTATGACTTCTTCCTGTCTTTTAACCGAGGAAACAAAGAAATCCCACATCCTTCCATAAATTACTAGAATCAGGTATCTACCACTTCTAATCAATGGGCATTAGATCTCTGCCGAGCATTACCCCAGGGGGTCTTGGGGAGTCTTGTTCTTCCAGCTCCTCATGAAACAGACTGTTGTAGAGCTCGGGAATGCCTTGTACGCCGGTGTAAATCCAGCCTGTGTATTCCTTGGTACATCCTTCGATAGAGGGAAATCCGTTTCTGCCTCGCCCTCTGGGCTCGCATTTCCCATTCAGCATGACACAAACGACAGCCCTTTTATGACCTTCAGCGCCTGCCTCGACCCAGGCAGCGGATTGGTCAACGGTGTCGAGGCATTTCTGATCAACATAGACACAATATCTGTATCTTGGGAGATATAACGCTAACGGATCCTCTGCTCCAGCACCATCTCACTCAATAGATCGCTCGGAAACCCACTGAGAAAATTTATCGCGTACCTGTTCCTTCGACGCATTATTGAGAGTTTCGCAATCTTCCATGATAGTCCATTCAAGATGTGGCTCGAGGAGTGTCCGAAGTTCCATGAACTTGAGTTCGCTCTCAACTGCTGCCTCGAAGAACTCAATGTAGCTCCCCCACTGAGTTTGGGACTCTTCCGTATAAACCGAACGAAATATGACGAATCCCCAGCGCTTGAACTCCGTTTCTTGCATGTCGCGAATAAGGGAAGAAAAGGGGGAAAACGGCTCGGTTGCCACCAAGGATTCATCTATTTGCGGGATGCTCTCAAGAGTTGGTGCCACTGCTTCAGGGTGATTTCGGATACTGGTGATGATGCTGGGCACTATCCTACGATAGCGGCGCATCCAAGGAGGCTTAGGGAGAGGACGCATAGTTGTTAACCAATACCAAGTTGTTGATTGGAGGAATAATAGGGATGGAAGTTGGATTCTGTTACTGAGATGGGCAAGAGGCAGCTATATATACCCAAAGTTTTGCAAAACTCCACGAGCTTAACCATCACGACACGAGGCAAGAGTGTGTTTGCTTGCAACCCTATTATTTTTATCCTTGCATAAAATGAGAGTTAAGGCGCTCTCTTAACTCAAGGTATAACTTAAAAAATATGGATGATGTTGTTATGATCTAATATGTTGAATTCAGACTATAACTCACAGGTCATTCCCACTGTATCACAAGCCACGCATAAGTGGGGAAGCGAACATAGACATAATGGACTATATTTACTACCTATGATACCTCAAATCTTCAAAGTAAAATAGTTTAAAGCCGAGAAGAAGAGAGCCTATAAGCCAATGATATATTCGGGGCAATGTAATTTGGCTGTAGATGGGGGAGATAATGATAATTAAACCTTGCTTTCCCTCATATTATGCCACAGAAAATACAAGAAGCTGTGCAAGGACCAGTTAACAGCAGATCACTTATTATATCCTTGATCTCAATCCTGAATCAAAGAAGGAAATAATAAAATTCTTTACTTTTTCCTTGTATTGTTAGTAAGCCTTCGTGATCTTCTAGCTTTTAGGCAGGGTTATTGGGGAATTAGGAAGCACAATGAATAACTAGGCCGCCAATAACAGAAAATACAGAACGCGATACCCGATGCCCTCCATAGAAACCTCAGTAACGATCATCATTCATCTCTAAGACGGCCCTCGTTCATAAGTACGATTCAGTCAACAATGCCACAAAAAGCTTTTGACCCATTCAAAACGAACAAACAGGTTTATATCACCTTATAGCTATCAATAAACCATGCTCAATCACTCGCACCAGATAGGCGAATATAAGAAAGACAAAATTAGAACTGGGGAATGAATAACTCTATCATTTTTCTCTCTCTCTCATTTCCCCTCAATATCATGTACCTATCAGACAGGTCAGGTTTCACAGTAAAAGTAACACATTGTTATTTTTCAACACGTTCTTGGCTGTGATTGTCCAGTTTGATCGTAAGTTTGAAGGCAGCACTGGCATGATCTGTTATTGACTCATGGTTTGAATGTTATTGCGTTATTCTGGCGCGGTATTTCACGCCTCATGATGCTTTCCGAATACTATTGTGTCTGTTATAGTCATGCGACATTGAAATAATGGCATTGCACCGGCCTTAGCATGTATTTCAGGGATACAGACAGCCCCGATTCTCGGTGGTCATCATCCAGGTCTCCGTCCTCCAACGGGTGCAGTAAAATACTCGGAAATGCGAACATCCTTCGAATCCTTGACAAGATGCGTGTCAGCCAATGCCTCATCCTTCCGTACCTACACAGTGAAATGTTTCTACTCCAGAGAGTATTGCGTCTGTACCGAAATCGTGGGGTAAAAAAAGAAAACAATATGTGAGGGATGCTATCGACGTGGGGCCCGACCCATGAAACGAAGTCCAAGAATGCACGAGGCAAGGGTGAAACCATCCGAGAAACAGATTTATAGTGTGGGTGAATTTGAGACATGTTGCCGATAGACCGTAATAGAGCGACAGAAACACTTGGTATTTCATTAGTGTTGCGGAGGGAGGAATTTATTTGGCACGTCTAGTTTCACAGGCATTCTTGCCTTCGGCCCGGGCAAGCTGGAACGTGGATGAAAGTTGTTTCGATTATTGATTGTAGATCACTCGCCTATTGATACTGTTTGCCAGAACCGAGTACGTGGACTCTCAAGGGTGAAGCAATACGACAGTGGACAACTCAGCCTCCATGTTTAAGCTTTAGATAGTAACGTGAGTTGGCTGGTTGCTTGTCAGCCCCTCAAGGGAGCGGAGACTATCATCATGAGATCCATAGTTGCATCCTTTTCACGGCTGCGCCGACTTGTACTCACAGTATAGACTAATTTTGCACTCTAAATAGTTTACACCCAAAAGTCTAGACAGACACATAAAGTTCACACTTCAGATCTAAAAAGGGACATGGCTGCTTAGAGCAGACCCAAATTTAGACTCTGGACGGGTAGCTAGATGACACTAACCTAATCCAAGTTAGCCAGATCTCACACAGAAGTGGCTGGTGAGTCTCCACTGTGACGTTACAGAGAATACTGTGGCTGTTAGTTTGTGGCGCACTAGCATGTGGACCTGGGGAAAGCTCTCTTCGCTTCTGCAAGTTCAAACCATGGCGTCATTCAGTTGAGCCAATCCGTGTTCATAACGAAAATCTTCAACAATGAAATAAGGGTTGACAGGTAGATCATTGTCAATAACAAACACAGTTATGAACATTGGAATTGATCAAAGGCACAAAGACTCTCGATTGGTCTGGATTTAGTCTCTTTCAACAATACATTCCAACTAAGACGCCTCGACCGAGAATGGACGCTTTCAGTGACTACTCTCAATGTCCGTAGCCAGCAAAGATAGTCTTCCTCTGTAGACTCGTAAAGCCAACCCTTGGCGACTCAGGACCGCGCTCATACAATGATATGAGGCTATCAAGAGCGGAGCAAATTGACCTCATCTCGGACGGAAATGTCACTGTTTTACATATCGCTTCCGGCCGTACCAGTACGATTTCGTCAATGTAGCTCAGAATATCATTCACTGTGTTCATCCTCGCGGGTCAGAATGTCCTTTAGCCTTATCAAATCGACATGGTCAAAGGCTCAGGTGCAGAATTTGATGATGGAACAAGATTCTCCGTGTCCATCATCATCTGGCATCAGACCAACCTGCGACAGCGGTTCTAGCGTATCAGCGTTGAGTATTTGGACCCTTGGATTCGGACCCTTGTTTTCTTGGCGCTTTGCCGACTAACCTGAGACTCAGATGTCAAGGGGTTTTCCGAATCGAGAGGTTCGAGACCTAACGGTTGAAAGCTACAAAGGGTGAAGCGCAAAGGGAATAGAATGACGGCTGTATCTTATAGATTCCCATGTCAAGGCATGGACAAGGGAGCTCTAAGGTTGATAGAGTGAATATCTTCAAATGAGGTTTTATGAAGATGAGCACATTGTCGTGCGAGTTGAGACTTTACCCGGCAGGGATAAGTTTAATGGGAATACGTCCGAGAACAAAGTGACCACTAATTTAATTGATCTTTGAGTCAAAAGACTTTTTCTTCTGCCGGAGAAAAAAAAACGGTAGTGGTTCGTCGTATCTCGCTCGCGAACCCGACGCAAATGTCGGTCTGGCGATACAAAAAAGCGATCAAAGTGGGTGTATGGAAGTATTCGGAACTGTATGATATGATTGGTCAGAATGCGTCCTCCTGGTACGATACCATGGCGGATCACCGATGTTAGCGGGACCAGTTGGAGCGAGAGACTCGTTGTGAGCTGGAGAATGGGCGCTTCATGAAGGAACAAGGTTGCCCAATCTTGATCGTGTGTTGTCAAGTTCCTGCATCACAACTAATGCGCGGCACGACAAACAGTGTGCCACTCAAGAAATACCTGTGATAGTCTATGCCTCAGATTCTCAGTGCCTGCGTTAACACTGCACACTACACTGTTGCATGCTGTTGCATCGTCTCCGCTTGGTGAGTTGGCAGGATAGGTACGGATACACTCAAAAACATCGCCTCGTCTTGGTATGCAGCATCATGTCTTCTAATGCAGTCTAATGGGTACAGCCATGCCGTGAATGGGTTGAGATCACACTAGACGATGCCTTGAGCAGGCTGGCGCGGTAGAGACCCATTCAAGCGTGATTATTCAAGATCGACCAGATCAAGACCATCATGTCAACTACACTGTCTGATACTTTGTGTGAGTTGTAAGTGAGTTGTCTCGAGATGAGTTCCTCTGTGGGTGTGGAGCTTTCGGATATGGTTTGACGCTGAGCTGGTGATACGCGAAAACGAGGTCGCAGAGACAAGACCAGCTGAACAACACCACGGATTTTTAATCAGTCATCATCACCACCCACAGCGGCCTGGCGACCCAAATGCAACCAGTCTCTAAAATACGGGCGGTAACAAATCTGATACAAAATATTCAAGGGCCCTGGACTGTCATCTCTTGATAGTCCAGGGCCTTTCTCTTCATCCGAGATTTGAGTCTCCCGTGGCACAGAGTTGCAGTCAGAGCCTCGACAGGGAATGCATTCAAGGTTTTTACCTGTGCAGATCATGAATGACTCTGACTCTGACTCTGTCGAAAGAAAGCGGTGTCGAGGAATTTTCGGAATTTTTTTATCAATCATTCTGTGCCTCGCCTACCGTAGCATCTGCAGCGACCAAAAGATGCCCAATCATGCATTTGGCTGCAGATGCACGTTTGCAAGTCCGTCGTTAACTAGGACTGCAAGCCTCGCAGCAGGGATAAGAAAAGTGAAGTCAGAATGCTATGGCTCACTGTAGAAGCTCGACATACAGTGACTCGAGTCGATGTTAGTCAGTATGATTTATGTGAGTGATTGATACATAATGACGAACTAAAAGAGGCTGGTCATTCATGTCCACGTTGTCTGGTGACGACGCCATATTGATAAACCAGTCAGAGGTAAAGACCACGAGTGAACCCACGAGGTTGGTGAAGATCGTATGCAAAACACATCAACACAGTAACTACATACTGGAAACATGAACTGTTTGTACTTGAATATATTTACGTCAATCTCGAAATCTCTAACATTCGGAGTTTGTCATCTGGTAGATCATGTTCATACAGCAAACGCAAGAGACTTTAAACATGTTAATCGGGATCTGAAGCTGCCGATGTCTCTGATAACGATCCGTAGCGAACGAACAGATCTCTCAATAGTCCTGGCGTTTAATGCCTCCATATCACAATCACTACTCATCCTTTTTGGTGTAGCGTGGGGGATTTGAAACGGCTCGTGGACGGCACAAGACTCAAGACAAGACAGAGGTCAGTGCCAAGGCTCAGGTGGCTCAGGACTCATCTCGAGACTCGTTGTGGAGGTTACAGTGGCTTTTTATGTGTCTCTATGAGTGGTAGAGTATCGTGGCCCTTTAAGGGGTTCTGGTCTACAGAATTCAAGACTATCGATGTTTGTCAACTCTATAGCCAGGCTCATGAGGCTACTCCCGAATTCTATCGCCTCTTTTTCAACGACTTTTCTGGGCGGACCTAATTCTGAGTAGGCCCCGTAGAAAATAATCCATCCTTTGATGGAGACCCTGCCACATGCCCTGCCATGCTCTACGCTATGCCCCATACCCCTGCCACCATAAGCGCCCCTGCCTCTCCAAGTATACAGTGTGACAATATGATCCCTTTCACACGGTCATTCTCGTACCAGAATGTGGCTCAAGTGGATCAGGAAGGGACCTTGGACCTTGGCTTGGGCTGAACCTTGTGCTGCTGCCCATTTGGCTTGCAAGAGTCTCTCAGGGACTTGTCTTCATATTAATGGATGCTACTCCCCAACCTCATGGAACTATTCTCCCTCTGTAATATCCATTCAACTCAACTATCGATTTCCAAGGAACCCCTCCAATATACCAATACAAGACAAAGACATTCTTTCTGTTTTCGTCTCTTTCGTCTGGTTTTGTCTTGGATCCATTGTCTCACTTTCGCTACCGGCCACTCTCAAGACCGTCGTCGAACACCACCTGACTACGAAAGACCTGACGACATTGTTCACGACTTTGCTTTCGCTCCCTTTGCTCTATACCCCGCCCTCTTTACAAAGGGCCTACTAAGGGGAATTCAATAATTATAACATATATCGACAATGTCTCTAGCAGTGACGCAACAACCACAAAGGGAGCTTGATGCACCAAAACTTGATACTGCTCTCGCCCAACGGGTACAAACACAGTCACAGCCCCGATCTCAAATACAGTCTTTATCCGTCGAGCCTCCTATTTATTCCCCTTCCGCTGATGCCGACTCGTCACCCGAAAACACACCTACAACAATGATTCCTTCACAACGACAACTTTCTGCAGCTCCTGCACTACCAGCCAAGAGCTCCCTCCGAGCTTCAAGATGCTTGGATGGTCTCTTGACACACAAGCTTACCCCCGAGGGTCGAGCTCCTTTCTCTACTCCTCATGATGTCTACCTCTCTTCAGAGGAGGATGCTTCTTCTTCCGCCGATGACTTTTCCGATTTCGAATTCGACTCTGGTAGCGATGAATCCCAGTCAACTCGAAGAGGAAGCCATGAAGATACCGCCAAGGTCGTTTCAGTTGTCTTCTCTGGAAAGCCGTCAGTAATTGATCTCCCTCGACGATCAGTCTCCCCCAGCATCATCAGTGAAGCTTCTTCTCGACCTTCATCAAGAATGTCAATTTGCTCTCGACCTCCTAGCCGCCTCCGCAGAACCACCACTCTCCCAGTTACTCTTCCCGTTCTCGACCGACGAATGTCTTTTTGCACTACTTCTTCCGGATCAGTCATGCACCCTCCACGAACAAGCAGCATGGGAACTCGTCTCGAGAAACAGCGACCCGATTTTCTCAGCATTGACCCTTTCGCCAAAGCTGAGCCTGAGGTTAAGGAAGAGGCTACTGAGAGGCCCAAGACACCAAAGTCACCCGGTGTTTTCAAGCGTACACTTAGCTTGGTCAAGAAGCGAAGCCGACCTTCGCTCAACACCCATTTTGCCAGTCAATCCAAGGATAACCTTTCCCTCTTCACACCCACATTTCCCATGGAGCAGGTTCGAGAAGAACCAGGCACAGACTCCGAAGAGCACAGGGCCCCCAAACCCATTCTTCAAAAGGCGCCAACCTATCACGAGTTCGCCCAAAGGAGGATGTCTTCAGCACCAATGTCTCCTATGTCACCTATGTCTGAACCCGGATCTCCAATGACACCTAATGGCACTCGTAGCCGTTTAAGGCAAGGATTGGCAGCCGCCGCGAGAAGACGAAGCGTCAAGGTTTAAAGACCTGACTTGTACTTTTACGAATTATGACTGGGCAAAACGGATACGGGTGCTAGACGCCTCTAATATTTCTCCTTTGTTACTATCTTCTGTATCGACCAAACAGGTCCTAGGGCAAAGGAAACAGGCGTTCTATGGACATATTCTGCTGGACAAGAAAAACCGGCGTTGTATTGTATTCACTCACCACTCGAACTGAGAACGGCGTTTTGGGATATATCAAACATGCTTTGCAAGCATCACGACCTTGGACAGGTCTCTTGGATAGATTTTTATCAGATAAATTGTTAATGAACCACCGCAAAAGGACGGTCAAGCATATCATGAATGGAGTTTTAGCTTTGTTCTGATGAATAACAATATTACGATTACTACATATTTTGTCCCTCTGACGTCTTGTGATATGTTTGTACTTTGAGGCTGAGACTATTGATTGTGGTGAAGTGGTTACCTTAGTTCGGCGCCGCCGCTCCAAGTGCCTGAGTCTGGGGTTAAACTCAACAGCCAACGACAGCATCGTTTTGCCGACAGACCGGGAAAGGCTGGTAACCTTTGATGGGGCATCAAGAATGATTCTAGAACTGTTTCTGTCCGCCTGCGGAATTCAAAGTGTTGTGTTGGTGCTGCCTCTGATATTGATTCCGGAAATGGAATACTATATGCATTGTATCAATAACTATCGTCTACATCTCGTCATGGCTGTTGATCATGTCCCCTGTTACTTTTTGCTTCTGTTGTTGCGGTGATGAGGAACATCAGATCAAGACAGGGTGTAAGTGAGAGATACTGCGGGGTACTCGAAGCAACGCTCACAAATGGCGGTGGATGAGGTACAGAGAAGTACTTTCCGCATTCGGTAGGTGGGAAATGAATCGACTCGGTGAGGCACGTCAAGGCAATTTAATATGCCGTAGCGTTATGATTTGCTGTTAATCTCGGGATGTCACCAGAGATGAAATTAAATTCTAGAAGATGAAGAGAAGGCATAACCGATGATGTAGTTATTGATTGTCCGTTATCTTCAAATAATTCATGCTCTTCTCCAAGATCGAATAGTGAATGTCTTGGTGAATATAGAGTACTTTGCAGATCCCCTGAGCGGTCAACCCCTGTTAGCTCATCGCTGCAATCATCTTTGATTGAGATCTACCCCTTGAATCCAATCCCCAGCAGTAAAAAGCAAGAACACGGCACGGGAGGATTGAACCATCACGGTCACTCACTCTCAAACTTACTGTACTGTATGTACATGCGAATCTGCCCTGTCAATTCGACTAGTTCATCGCTAATTACATTTCACCGTTCTTGAGTCAAGGTCTATGCTCGAGCACAGTCAGCAAATCCTTAAAGCTAAGCCAACCTAACCAGTCAGGGGAAGCTCGAATTGCAGTGGAGATGGTGACTTTGAATGACTTGTGGGTATTGAAATGCGAGGATGTCTTGCTCAATGGGGTTTATGTTGTATTTGCCCGTTTCTCATGCTACTGTATGATGTCTTTGCTTTCTTTTCATGAGACGTTGGCCCACGTGGGAAAAGCAATGAGGCGGGAGACGTGCATGGGTGTGGTGTGATTCGTCTCGTATGTTTCTCTCTGTCTTTTGACTGTGTTCCATGAGCCAATCGAATTGCCCAATTGATCGTATTTCAAGTGGATTCTTCATAAATTCATCTCAAATTATGAGCTTCAATTGTTAGTCGCCTCCACTCTGTCTGTCTGTCTCTCTCTCGCGACTCCAAGCTTGTTCCCTTCGGCTCTGTGGCGGACACAGCTGTATCAAACAGCGTCAGTGTCTCAGACAAGACTTTCCTCAGCCGTCAAGCGATCGTAGCGGCTTCAACACGAAGAACCTCTTGCGTGCTCCGTGGGGGCCTCTAGCACTAATAGAGGCGCTCGTTCATTTCCTTTTGATGCTTGGACCACTTGAAGGATGTTGCGCTGTGTCTTGCAGGAGAATATGCGGTGCTGTTGAAAATGTGGCTGGGTCACGATCAGGGGAAAACCTTACGGCGCTTGACTTTGTTCGAATTGTGGCTCTAGAAGCGCAAATAAACGCCAGAGAAGGGCGGTCAGAGTCGACGATGGGGCTTGAATTTGAACGATGTTACTGAGACTTTAAAGAGTTGCACTCTGGAATAGAGATTGACATGAGTGCTCGCAGATCTAGCGCTTTGGCGTCACGAGTCACTTGACGTATTTGGAGGACCCTGAAACATATGGTGGACGATCAAGCACTACACTGCGGAATACTGGTGATCCTCGTCTGGGGGAGATTGGACCTTTGCTGAATAGCGATCGGCGATCAAAACTTCTCTGTAGATATCTAGTCTGTACTAAAACTTCGACGGACCGATCTGAGAGCTGGCATCTGCGGTGGCTTTATGATGACAGGTGGGGAAGTAGATACTCGAGTATATGAAGACCTGAAGTAGAATGATGAGCACTAGGATCCGGGGTTCTTCAGCTCTTATGTTGAGCAGCTGTGTCTGATTGGAGTCGCTCCACAAGACCTGACTCAGTGGTGAAGCTATCTCGAGACCCCATCCTGGTACGTGCTCGAGTCCCAAGATGGTGGACAGCGACACAGTACAGATGAAGAATGAGTACAAGACTATTATAACTGCGATATCCCGACTTGAATGGGGTTTCATGATTCGGATCCG